ATCTTGCGGGGAATTCCCCTGCGAGTTGCAGGGCCATGGCCAGGGTCTGCGAAGGACAAGGAGTGAAGAAAGAGACATAACTGCAAACAAAGTAAACCAAAACGATCATGTTGAAATTGCAGGATTGCATAAGGGGATACAATCGCACCATGAAAGCAACAAAAAGCAAAAGAAGCTTGGTGGGCGTTAGTTAACCTTCCCCTAAAGGCCGTGACAGTGTCGCTGCATGAAAGCCCCCACCGAGAAGGCCACAGAGGCCACCCGCTACTTGAGCAGTAGCAGCACTTTTTTACTTATTCTTCAATTTTCTTTTACTTGTTTTTTATTTGTTTATTTGTGTTTATTGTGTTCTTGTTTCATGTTTTTATGTTTTTTCCGTAAATTCAAGGGTTGGTCATAGGGTGGATTAGGGGCGCTTTCTGTAGAGGCCTTGCTGGAGTTTTGAAGGCCCCATGATCATCCCATAGGAACCCCTGAAGATTCCCAGCCAACACCTGAGACCCCCACAAGACCCCCACAAGAACCCAACTAAAACCCCGTAACATTCCCAAGGAGATGCAGCCATTAGCTGGAAACAATCATTCTTAGACTCAAAATACTAACCGTTCTAACCTTTTAGCCCTACTATATCCATACCCATGCCATGCCCAGGTTTGGGTTGCTGACTGCTGCAAATGGCATTGCTCTTGTTCTCTTTCAAATACCATTACCAAATCCCCCCGAACCCCCACCAAACATCACCAAACCCCCACCCAACCCCCACCAAACCCCCACCGAACCCCCATGCTATTCTCGGATTTGGGCTGCTGCAAATAGCATTGTTCTTGTCCTGTTTCAAATACCACTACCAAACCCCCACCAAACCCCCACGCCATTCCCAGATTTGGGCTCAACCCCATCAAACCACCATCAAACCCTTGCCAAACCCCTACCACACCCCTACCAAACCCCCACCAAACCCCCATGCTATGCCCATGAATGGCACCAGGAAATTGGAAAAAGGCCTGATGGGGGCGAACATAGTCCCCTTTAGGAACACTTTCTAGGAACACCAAGTTGGTAACTATGGCCCCACTAACTAAGCCGATGGAGGGCCTTGATCCACAAAGGCTGTGGCCTGCCAATAACAAATATCACCAACTCCCATCAAAGACCCACGCAAGCCCTAGGCAAACTGAGGGAAAAACAAAGGGTTTGTGTAGGGTTTGTGCAGGGTTTCCATGGGGTTTTGGTAGGCCCCATAATGTTCCAATAAGGTCCTTACAAGAAGATACCATAAGCCATTGTAAGAGTTGGCCTTGAATTTAAGGAATTTCGACTTTTTTCCACGATTATTTGTCCAAAAAAAAGGTCGAAATTCAATGTGTTTTTCCAAAAATCATTGTGGAAAAAGCAAAACCCATTAGGATAAAAACATACTTTACTTCGAGGTGTCCCCACCATGACATCTATACGTTTCGTTACTGGCAAATCTTCTGGCATTCTATCTGCCATATCTTCTGGCATTTTATCTGGCATATCTTCTGGCATTTTATCTGGCATATCTTCTGGCATTCTATCTGGCATATCTTCTGGCATTCTACCTGGCATATCTTCTGCAATATGTTCTGGCATATCTTCTGGCACTCTATCTGGCATATCTTCTGGCATATCTTCTGACATTCTATCTGGCATTCTATCTGGCATATGTTCTGGCAAACATTCTGGCACTTTATCTGGCATACCTTCTGACATTCTATCTGGCATACCTTCTGGCATTCTATATCTGGCATATCTTCTCGCATTCTATCTGGCATATCTTCTGGCATTCTACCTGGCATATCTTCTGGCATATGTTCTGGCATATCTTCTGGCACTCTATCTGGCATATCTTCTGGCATATCTTCTGACATTCTATCTGGCATTCTATCTGGCAAATCTTCTGGCGTTCTATCTGGCAAACATTCTGGCACTTTATCTGGCATACCTTCTGGCATTCTATCTGACATTCTATCTGGCATACCTTTTGGCATTCTATCTGGCATATCTTCTGGCATTCTATCTGGCATATCTTCTGGCATTCTACCTGGCATATCTTCTGGCATTCTTTCTGACATTCTATCTGGCGTTCTATCTGGCATATCTTCTGGCATTCTATCTGGCCTCAACGGTGCTCACTGAGCTCGGAGGGTCCCAGGTTGAGGTCCAGCGGTGCTCACTGAGCTCGGAGGGTCCCAGGTTGAGGTTCCGCGGTGCTCACTGAGCTCGGACGGTCCCAGGTTGAGGTCCAGCGGTGCTCACTGAGCTCGGAAGGTCCCAGGTTGAGGTCCAGCGGTGCCCAGTGCGCTCAGACCCTTGCAGTTGTGGTCCAGCAGTGCCCACTACGTGCGGAAGTTGGCGAAGAGTTGGCAAGGCGGAAGTGAACATGGAAGTGGAGGCAGAGGTGGTGGAGGAGAAGGAGTAGGAGAAGAACAACTCTGATAAAATCTAGCAACCCTCCGATAAAATCTAGCAACCCTCACCTGGCAGGTGGGGAAAAGTGAATTTCATGTTTTTTCTTGAAAAATAATCGTGGAAAAAAATCGACATTCCTTAAAATCAAGGCCAGCCCTTGAATTAAGGAATTTCCTCGGAAATAAGGAAAAATGAAAAAGTAGAAACAAACTAAACAAAAATAAATTGAACAAGTAAGAAAACATTAAAACATAACAATAAATAAAGTAATAATGATAAAAATAAATAAACAAAATAAATCAACACATTACAAACAAAAAGGAACATGTTGTTGTGTAAATGTGTAGCGTCTATTTTTCTCAGATTGGTGGAAGCAGTTTTTTTGGCGACGATCCAAACACTGAAAAGTGGCGCCTGGGGCGGGCCTTTTGAAAGATTCATAGAATGTATTTTGTTGAGCAACCGGCGGCGTTTCTTCCTGCAAAAAAAATAACGCAAAAATACATTGAAAAGATCAGTAAAAAACATGAAAAAAAACAGCACGGAATCGGGGCCGTGTCTCGAAATTAGTTGCGCAACCATTTTTCAGCCAAGGATCCCCGCACATTTGCTTTGATTCATTTTGCATACTGCATGCACCTTATTTCCGTACAACCCGCCACCTTATTTACGAAAGTTAACAGCTGTTTCTAGCACCTTGTTGCTTGGGGCCCATGTCCTCTTGTTCTGTTAAAATTCCTCATTTCAGATGATTAAACCCACAAGTTCGGTCCATTTTGTCAAATAAGATGATTGAGTAATATTTTTTTCCAAGGGTGTGGCGTGCTCTTCAGTGAAGCCATGGTTATAACATGTTATAATTCACATTAATTCACTATAACACTTAAAAGTTTCGAACAAAAACAACCCTGAGCATCGGCTATTGATCCTGATCAATAAACAACATACATTTCTTATTGATATTGATTTTTATCATTTTTATTGAAAAAATCAATATTTTTGAGAGTCACATGTTTTGATTTTTTTATTGATTTTTTTGGTAACCAAAGTGGTCTGATCCTATTGATTTTCCAATTGATTTCTTTATTGATTTTTGTGGCGTACCAGATTTGATCAAATTTGGTCAAATTTGATCAAATTTGATTTTTTTGAAATTAATAGTTGTCCTATTGATTTTTCTAGTCAGAAACATGGTTTTTCCTATTGATTTTTGGGTGAGTTTTTGCTATTGAAAACAGGCTTTCAAAATCAATTGTAAAATATTGGTTTTGATAGAGAATCAATAGCTTTAAAATCCTATTGATCAGGATCAATAGCCGATGCTCAGGGAAGGTAACGCCGCCCGTAAAGAAGCGGGCTCTTTTAACGCATCCTTCTCGGATGTGCTCCAAGACATGTGGCACAGCTGTCCAAAGGTCTTTGCCATTGTTGTATCTGTATTGTCAGCTATAAGTCCACTGCCAAAGACCTCACACGAACGTTAACATCACCCCACCCATCCGCAGACCCAACCCAAGCAACGTGAACGGCTGACGTAGTGTGCAGAAAGCGTGCAAGTTAACACGACATTTAAAATCACCCCACCCATCCCCAGACCCAACCCAAGCAACATGATCAACGTAGTGTGCAGAAAGCGTGCAAGTGAACACATGTTAACACGAACATGAACATCACCCCACCCATCCCCAGACCCAACCCAAGCAACATGATCAACGTAGCGTGCAGAAAGCGTGCAAGTGAACACATGTTAACACGAACATGAACATCACCGCACCCATCCCCAGACCCAACCCAAGCAACGTGAACGGCGGACGTAGTGTGCAGAAAGCGTGCAAGTTAACACATGTTAACACGAACATGAACATCACCGCACCCATCCCCGGACCCAACCCAAGCAACGTGGTGCAGAAAGCGTCCAAGTTAAGACATGTTAACACGAACATGAACATCAACGCACCCATCCCCAGACCCAACCCAAGCAACGTGAACGGCGGACGTAGTCTGCAGAAAGCGTGCAAGTTAACACATGTTAACACGAACATGAACATCACCGCACTCATCCCCAGACCCAACCCAAGGAGCGTGAACGGCGGACGTAGTATGCAGAAAGCATGCAAGTTAACACGAACGTTAACATCACCCCAACCAGACCCATACCCACAAGAAACATCGGACGTTAAATAAACGTTAAAAGTCCCCGCGTCTTTATGGGCGGCGTTGGCAAAAACAACACCCAACTTTTGGGCCGAGCATTTGATCTTCCAGCCCAACCTTTTTTTTGGGGGATATCGCTTCCAGACCCACTTCCGGTTGGTGGTTTGGAACATGTTTTTTTTATTTTTCCATATGTTAGGAATGTCATCATCCCAACTGACGAAGTCATATTTTCAGAGGGGTAGTCGGTTGAAACCACCAACCAGTATACATATTATATACATTATCTACATATCATACATACCAGGTATATCCCATTTTTGGGTGATTTCCTCTAAGGTTTAACCATATATTAAGCATATATTAACCATATTAACCATATATTAACACCATATATCAACCATTCCTCTGAGGTTCATGTGCATCATCTTTTTGGTCATCGGTTTCAGCGGCCTCATTGGCGCCACGATTTCCCACGGCTGCTTCAGCATCCTGGGGGAAGCCATGACGCAGCGGCTGCGCGTGGCCATTCTGACATCCATCTTTCGTGGCTCGGTGCCGGTGGTCCCGGGGCCTGGGGTGTCCCATTTCGGCTTTGGTGAACATAGCTATGGCAGCTATGGCCATTGATATTCTTTATAGATGGAACAGAGGGTTTATACTATTTACAGATCATTTATGATGGACAATGTTCATTTATTTATACAGTATACAATTTATAGATCGTTAGATGGAACATGGCCATTTGTACGACAGTGCACTGTAGACATAGATCGATTTCCCGATTGAAACGGATGAATTTCTAGGCAGATGTTGAAGGCGGTACCGGTTGTAGCATGTTGTAGCTAAGAAATGACCAGGGGGTCACCAGAAATTCCAGGTCAGGAGCTGGGCTTCCATGACGACCCGCAGAATGCTCCAGGCGCTTCGCCGAAAGGGATTTTGGCTGGTTGACCCTGGTGATTTCCCATGGGAATTGCATGCTGATTTCCCATGGTGACAGATGGTGACATGATTTGATGGGAATTTCAATAGAACTAGCCCGCAGATGATATGAGAGGATTATGGGCTAAACATCACCAACGAAATAACATGGTACATCATCAAAATCAATGGGCCATGGGATTGATAGCAAACTGCACAAATTATCAGAGGGTAGGTCTTATTTGATGGATGGCCTTTTGGTATTGTTTGGTACTTGTTTCCATGAATGTTGGGTTGCATGTATCCTTACCGATGAAGAAACCTTTGCAGTGATGTGGCATTTGCTGTTCCACACTTGTAAGGCAATAGAGGCTGGCGAAAGTTGCACAGTCCGCGTGATGTTTGTGATGTGAAAAAGGTGAATTTACAGCCGTATATTCTTTTTTAAGGAACATCCCAAACTGCACCCTATGGCAAGTGACAAAGCAACCTCACCAAACCTCCACAGCTGGTTCTGCTGGAAAACGAAGGAGTTCACACATCATTCCTCAACATGACTCCAATATTTAGTAGTATATGTATGCGTATATACATATATATATATATATAGTTAGTATCTATTTGCATCCGTAGTTGTGAAGAATGATGATCTCCATATATCTGCAGTATGGTGCACAATCAGAGCCACCAAAGCACATCCGCTACATGGTCGCCAACCAAGTAATACACATGGGTTGTTGCCGCGTTGCCAGTTAATGCCAGTTATATATATATATATATATATTTTATATATATATATGTATATATTGGATGTCCACATTTATATACAAAATCGTCAGCCAGTTCCGAACTGAGATAGTTTCTTTTCACCAATCCAATTGTTTTATCGGCCATCACCCCATCCAGCATGTGCCTAGAAAGTGGTGAGCAACTGGGATATGACCCTTCACAACTGGTATGGAAAATATTATTATATAGTTATAGTTTTAACATGCTACAACACCGTTACCAACCACGGTTTGTTATCTTATGGATCACTCAAGTACTGTACTTGGTTCGTTCCATGTATAACCCCGGGTAGAAAGTCCTCTGAGTGAAATGGATTTTCACCAATAATTGTGGCAAAACCCCACACATACGAACCAGTTTCTAAGCGTACAAGTAAGTGGCCGGGAAAATCATTTGCAAATATTGAACATGTATCATTTGCATGTTTGTCTCAATTGGACATGCAGTATATCATTGTTACATCCTGGCATGATGGCTTGTAAATCGCTGGGATGTCATGGATTATCACCCACCAACAAAAACAGGGTTCCTAGGTACTAGTATTACCAACAACATACATGCATATATAATATACACAGCATAAAGTCATAAAGTATACATACACCTCCGTCATACATATACATATACATATATATATATATGTGTATATATTGTATATAATGTCATATTTGCGTGTATATATATATATATATATACCTACGAACTCCAAAAGGACATAATTTCAGCCTGAAGTGGAAAAACCGACTTTTAGGGTCTCAGACTGAAATTTCGGTCTGAGGGGGATTTCAGGCTAAATCTTGAATCTCAGGCTGAAAACCTTGAATCTCAGGCTGAAAATCTTGAATCTCAGGCTAAATTTGATAAGAAGTCAGGCTCAAACCTCAAGTTAGACACGTTGAAACATGGCGATCTCCACTGTTGAATGAATCTTCAAGGTGCCGCCCATCCCTTTGCCTTGCCTGCCTTTGCGATGTCACAGAACTGACATGGTTTAGGATCCAAAACTCCGTTCTCAAGTCTTGAAAGGAGATTGTGACAGCTTGGAAGTTGTTTTTGGCTCAGGGTAGTAGCTCCGGTTTGACCCAATAGAAAAGATCTGGAGCTAATGGTTATGGTATCGTTCCTTCATGTGGAATGGTCTACTTTCAAAGCGCTGGAGGAAGCAGGACTAGTTCAACCAACTGATTTGCTACAATTGTTTTGTGGGGAGAATGTACTTGTGAATCGCCACCCTTGCTAGGACTGACTCAGCTGCCAGGGGAATGGTGGCGTCAGGTCCAAAGAGCCCTTTTCCCCACCTGTGCTCCTGAAGTCTCTCGCTCTGTGAAACGTTAGCCCAAGACCGGAAGCTGTGTTGTAATGTGCCTGCCTGTGAGAACATTTTCTCCTTATTTCTCCTTCACAGGGATTCAATGCTTTATCCAAGGTTTACTTGTCCCAAGACCGGGCCCAGACTATCTTGGAGAATTACCTACTTCATGGTACCAGCTTCTTCTTTGCAGCGGTTGCTAAGAAGTTCATGAAGTTCAATGTTACTTGTAGGCAATTCGGAAAATACAATTTTTACCCGAAAGGATCCACCCAATCTATCCTACAGTGGTCCAAGGCTGCCTCGCACCCATGCCGCAAGATCTAGCTCAGTGAGGTGTACAAAACACCTTGGCAGCGTTGTGCCACTGCAGTGGCTCTCTGGGATTGGGGTTAACAGAAAAACTGTGGGGTGATCAAGAGTCGCCGTCTTGAACTGCTATGCATATTTTCCAAAATTTGAAGGATATCTTTTTTGCCACAGCTAAAGTTAATTTTAGATGGGATGCCCCAGGATATCTTCTAAGGTAGTGAAGCCATGTTTGCCCCTATGCGCAGGTGCTGTGAAGTGTTTGATCACGGTCTGCCATGTGGACAAGTTCAACACGTGCCCCAATCCAGGATTGACCGGCTTCCAGTTGCAGCATCAGCGGCCTGATTGCTGCCATTTGGCAGCCTGTTGTAGTTCATCCCCTCTTCCTCAGCATTTGGCTTGAAAAATTTGAGAAACACAAAGTTTGGCCAGAATCAGTTGGACCTGCGATGGATCTCCCAGCACAGGGGTCCAAAGACCAGGAGTACCCAGATGGGGAAGGATCTTTGAAGGGTCTGTGTAAAGAGCTTGCAAAAGACGAACGGGTGCTGACCCATGCCCTTGCTAGTGGCAGGATCATGCGATGGTCAAGTCCCAAAATGGTTGGCGTCATCAATTTCAAAACCCTTGCAGAAAACTTTCGGGTGGTTGAGAAGACTCTCAGAATGTGGCTACCACAAACTGAAGTACCAAAGACCATTTTGATTGAAGATGCCAGGGAACAGGCGGGATAGGGAAAATAATATATATATTTTTATTTGTAGAATATATATTATAATATATACATAATCTATCAATATAATACATATGTTCTCTTCTATGTTATATGTAAAATAATATATATATATATATAATATAAATAATATATATATAAATAAATAATAATATATATAAATATATATATATATATATATATTTATAATAATATATATATATATACATAATATTATGTTTAAAATGGGTTCCCATTCCACTTTTCCCCATCCATTGCATTTGTAATACCAGTGACCACTTTCAGAGTAAACCCAGCCCCTTTCAGATGGAGCTCTTTCGTGCGATGCTTTCCATGCCCGAAGACACTGTCTTGATGAACTGCGATGCTGTTTCACTACGTGGTTTCATCAGCTACATGGTGAAGCGTCATGATGGTGCAATCCGCAGAGATTCTTACTTGGAATGAACTTAACAACTTGTGAGTTTAGCCAGCCTTGTCAGTCAACTACTATGGCCTATGGGTTTTCCTCTTTTTGCCACATTATTTTTCTAAAACAGACAGAACTTTCATCCTGAAGAAAAATGCATAATCCCATCACCCTAAGATTAAGTGGCCTATTAATGATCCCAATGATGTGGAAACCCATTACTAAACCATGGTTTCTAAGGGGGTCCTTAATATTAGGGGGAAGAGGGGAAGAGATTATGCCGCCTTAAGCCATGGTATACCTACTATCCCGTTGCCTCGCTGCAAAGGACCCCATTGTCGCCACCCTGTTCAACATGGTCGCCGCCCATTGGCCGGTCATGGTGAGACCCAAGCTGGGCAGCCAAGAGTCGCTTGAGGCTGGCGAGGAGGAAAATGAAGAGCACGATCCTGACGAAGTGGATGATGCTGATTTGGCACAAGGGTTGGGGGTGCTGTGTGGCGTTGCTGAACCAGTAGAACCCCTACCTGACTCCGAGATCCCTGAGACACAGCTGCTAGAATCACAAGCCTATACAGAAATGGACTTTGATTCACTAGTTCCTGCGAATGACTGTCCAGTTGTACCGTGTGACCAGCAAGATTCCTTGGAGAATGTCTTTGAGGGTGGTGAGAACTTGGGTAGCAAAGATGCAGCAGCTTCACCAGCCACCGAGAAATCGGAAAGCGTAGCCCCTACGGAGATTGAGAACACTCCGTCTCCTCCCCGCCCAGGGCCTGATGGTGTTATCGAGATTGCCGAGTCTCCAAGCATTCCTGTCCGAGTGCTGCCGCCAAAGAACCCCGCAAAGGTGAGTGAGGAAGATTTGGCCACACTCAGGGAAAAGATAGCTTTGCTCAAGTAACCCGACTCAAAATGCAAACATTTTCTCAAATTTCCCTGGTTACGTTAGTTAGATGTTCTATAAGGGGGGTGGTCCATGGGTAATCCCAGCTATTTTTAAAAAATCAGAACCATGTACTTTTGAAAACATAAATTTACCTAGCTGAGGTCAAGGATCAATATGCGACAACAGCCTCGCCCTTTGCAAAGGGCACCTTCTGCGCCAGCAGTGGACCCATCCACTCTGGACACCTTGCCTATGTTTCATGACTTCTTGGAGGGCAGTTCTCCAACCAAGCCGGATGAGGGTGTAGAAACAGGAGAGAAGTCTCATGGCCTTGCTGACCTACCTCATGGTGAAGTCAACAGCGACTTTCCTGCTGACCTTCAACATGGTAAAGTCAACTACGACGACTACCAACTTCCTGCTGATCTACCTCATGGTGAAGTCAATGACCAACTTCTTGCCGAAGCTGGTGTGCATGGTGATGCTATGGAGCCAAAGACCCCTGAGCAACCTGAAAGCGATCTACCAGACCAGCCCTGTCCCAGGACCCTTGACCAGCCTCTTGCTTCTGATGCCAAAAGTCTTCATGATGAGCCCGAGCCATTGGCACCTCAGAACGTTGTGACGGAAAATGCGGAGGGTGAACATGGAGGAGCTGTTGCCCCTGAGGATACCAAAGAGGGTGGTGAGGAACCTGAGCCTGCTGATGGGCCTGAGGATTTGTTCAACGCAGAGGTTCAAACGACCCGACATGAACAGTTTGCGGAGAGAGATAGGTTAGCCAAAGAAGCACCGATGACCAAAAAACAAGCAAAGGCAGCAGCTGCAAAGAAGAAGAAAGCCGATGACAAAGAAAAGGCGAAACTTGCGAAGGAGAACAGCAAAGCCTTGGCCAAGGCTAAGGCAAAATTCGAGAAAGAAAGGGCCAAGGCTGAAAAGTTGGCTGCAAAGTTGGCTGCAAAAGCTGACAAAAAAGATGAGAAAAAAGCTGACAAAAAAGCAAAGGCTGCACCGAAGAAGAAAGCTGCACCGAAGCAGGAGGCAACAAAGGGACGAAAAAACAAGAGCAAGGACAGCAAGGAGACACATGATGAGGGCACAACAGAGACCGCCGAGATTCAAGGTGAAGCTCCATCAGTTCCTGCTGACACTGGGGGCCCAGAGGTCAAAGAACCCAAGAAGCCCCGCACCAAGAAGGCCAAGCAAGCTCACACTCCTGGTGATGGCCTTCCGGTCGCCCCTGAGGCAAGCTGCCCTGCCCCCGTGAAAGCTTCTGGTGACCTTGATCCACCGAAGAAGCGCAAAGCTGAGGATTTGCCAGATGGCGCCAATGATCCCAAGGAGAACCACAAGGAGAAGGCAACTTTTGCCAGGAGAATCCGTGGCAAGGGTGAGAAGGCAGGAAAGCGCTGGGACAACATCAAGGGAGTCTTCATGGACCTTGTGGCCCCACTGATCCGCCGACCTTCGCCTTTCGAGGCATATGTTTGTCAAAAGGGTTAGGGGTGAATAATATTAACTGCTTTTACAATATTACATAGTATCTACCAAATCCCCAGGTCATATTATGTAGAAGGCATCCCCCTACGATATGGTTGTATATATATATATACCTTAAAAGACATTATGGTCCACCATTTCTAAACCAGGTTTTTGTTATGGAAACAAGGTTTAGTTATATATATATATATATTATATTATATTATATATATTATGCTGATCGCTTTCCAGTGGCTGGGGCGGCCATACTATAAATTTGGCGAACATTTTTTTGGCCACCTGTCTGACCAGGACCCGTTTTGGACACATTGTGTGAAGTTGGAGAGGGAACAGTATCAGGAGAATGAGAATACCAGCCAGTACGAGTTCTTCAAGAGCTGCGTCCAGTCCTTCTTGGAAATCCCAGGCGTCAAGGGTTCCTTGATATTGGTTGGAGCTGTCAATTGATTTGATTTGTTTAACTTTTGGGGTGGCACCCACAAGCCCAGGGTTGAATTTGAACCCATCACCCAACTAAGAAGAGATGGCCAAAGTCGGTGCGCCGTGATCCAACTGAGAGAATATTCCGTTTTTGTACGTGTCACAAAATGATACATATTAGGGGTTTCTGGCAGCGCGTTAGACTCAGGAGTGGGATGGCCAGTAAACCAAAAGCTGACTCCCAACATGCCATAACTGAAATTTTGAAAACATATTTTTTGATGGGCTGGCCGTTCCATGGGCTGAACTCGTGCTGACATGACATCTAAATTTGGGCAGAGTGCCCTTCACTCTGCTGCAGCGAGTGTGTGGAACCTGTGACGCCGGGAGCTCTATTGCTGGCAATACGGGAAAACAGTCTCAACTACCCATCATTCTGTTGAGTTTGAGATGACTTTTTTTTTGGTGAAAAATCCCAAATTAAAAAATGATGAGAAAACATGAGGAAACCACCGAAACACCAATCACTGTATTTCACCATACACACTATTGCAGCTCATTACCTTCTACAGCAGCCAGGTACGATCGATGAAGAGGCGAAAGCTCCGTTGCTTGGGGCCCTACGTGAAGCATGGTGTCATCGACTCGGATCGTGGGCCTGGCCAGAGTTTCCCCAGCCAATTCAGCTTGAGTGTGCCGAAGTCTGATCCAAGTTCTGGGTTTCTCTATAGCTGATGATGTGTCCTTAAAGTTTCGGCTCCTGACACTTAGTGACTTAGTACCCTTCGGAATGAAGAGGTCTAGAAGTACATGTGACTCTGTGCCACCCAAGCTGGATTGCGTTCTCCGGCGATTGGTTTGGTTGCGTGCGCCCCGCGCACCTCAATTGAATACTGGTTTGAACTGGTTTCCAAAAATCCACACTCCATGCCAGCTTGTTTCCAAGCCAAACACTGGTAATGCTAGCGGTTCCCCTGTTCCATGAAAGCGCTCAGGCATTTATTCTCCTAATCCTCTTGATTGGGAACCTGACCATTGTGGATTTTGAGAACCCTGCTGCTGAGTACGAGGTGTTGGAATACTACGCTGGCACGGCAAGGTTAGCACGATTGGGGAAAGCCATGGGGCTCAACGTTGCTGCCATGGATTCCCTTTATGATGTGGCAGGGGATAACCGGAAGAAGAACAATTCTCATGATTTGAATACGTCTGGAGGAATGGTGTTCCTTTACCAAATACTTTGAACTTCGGTTTTGGTGCTTTTTATTTGCTGCCCCCTTAGCTGCACCCAACCAGCCTGGGTGGTGCGTTGAAGCTTTGAATCTGAGGCTCGCTTGCACCTTGGCCCTGCAGGGGCGGTGGCACTGCTGCCTAGCTTTGTTTGGCATATGCTGCAGTACTTTTGTGGCCATCTCACGGGGGTCAACACTTCGTTGTCCATTTGTCCCAGAAGGAAGTCCAGTATCCCTTGCAGTTTACAAGGCGAACAAAGGCTTGGTCAGGCAAGGTAGAACAAACCAATTCTGGATAATATGTATGCATGTCATCCGAATCCAATATATATTGCAGTATATATGTATTATAGTATATATATAGTGTTGTATTAAACACAGTAAATGTATATATATATAATATACCAACCTTTTCATCATCCTATCTACAACGTACTAAGTGTGCCTGTTACATTTTAACTGTGTTTATTATGCTATGGTATGTAAATATTTCTTTGACATGCACTGCTATGTTGATCCAACATATTCAAATCAGATATGATTAGAGAAATACAACCCAAACCCAAACATACCTGGATTTTGGCGAAGGTTAGTTGACGCAAACCCTGAAGGTCTATGTTGATACTGCTACTTGTGATAGCGGTTGGGATAATTCCGATCCTGGAGAATCCTGTGAGTACGCTCATGAATTGCCACCCGAAGTTTCGCCTCGTTGTCAAGCTGCTGCAGGACAAGGGCATAAGTCTTCCGACCGGCCTTTATCCACAAGCTGTTGGTGGGTTTGGGATAAAGGATGCCAAAAATCAACATGGTCCCTCTTAGATTAACAATTCTTGGAATCAAAAAAATCATACCCCCCAAAAAAACATGTCAGTGGGTATTTTTTTGGAGCTTCAAAACTATGTCACGTTTGTTGGTAAGTGGGATGGGGATGTCATAGGAAGGGCTAGAAGGGCTAGCAAGACAAATGTGTTTCAGAAAGAGTGGGCCACATAGGGAGTTCATTGCCCCCCATTCCTTCAATATATATATATATAATATAAATATATATAATATATAGTATATATATATATATTGAAGGAATGGGGGGCTGTAATTAATATGGTTCCTGGTGGTTGGATGGCCAATGTTCTTTTGCATTTTGCTTTTCGAAACCAATGATGACTAAGTTCTTTACAAGCAAGCGCTATGGATGAAGCATCATGGGCACCTATGTTTAAAGCGGACGCTATTATGGTCGACATCACCAGCTATCCGGCTACTTGATTTGGGCCCCATTGTCAAATCAAAGCACAAGAGTTTACTGGCCACTACAGTCCAGTACCGAGACTCCAAGGGAGCCAAGCGTTTCAAAGGCTCGAAAGCGCTAAAATCCACGCAGTGCTTGAACTGAAATTTAAAGTGGTAAACCCAAATGCTAAGTATAATGAATGATGACCCCCAAATTGTAAAACAAACATTTCGAACATGACCCAAAGATGTGATTTATCATTCGTTGGGTTTACCACAGCTTTTTTGAAATGTTTTGCTATATATTTTCAGTTCATATTATAAAATGTATATATATTATATTATATTATATTATGGAAACATACCCATTCCTCTTGGTCCCCTGATGTCCCCGGCCTATTCATAGTTTCATTCTGCCTTAGCCAGCACCGTGGCCAAGGGTATATCCCGTACGGTTTGTGGGCAAGATCTTCGAAAACCGGAGTGTCTTTCAGGAGACAGGTCCGAAATTGCCAGAGGTGGGAAAGAATGGTTTGGGTGAGCTGATTGATTTAGATATTTGGTCCATACCCCAACCAAAGAAAAACATGAGTCCTATGGGGTTTCAGAGGTTACCTTCGAAGCTGACCGACATTCCACCTCCAATCTTTTTGCCTGGGACAGATTCAGAACCATGGACAATGGCCCCTTCAATGCTGAAGATTACACTGCACTTTCTTGGGTGGCCCCTTTGTAAAAATACAGTTACATTTTCTTTCCGGTCTTTTGAGGGAAGTCAGCAAAAATGATTCACAATCACAATGCATACAGCCAGCTAGTTTTTAAGTGAAATTGTTTGAGGGCAAGCTCATGTTTCCCAGGTGCTGTTCCCAGACAAGACTATCCTGGAGCTGCTCCAAGAGCTTCCTACTGGAGAGGACCCCTGGAACGAAGCTGAGCTGTGGAGCCCTTTGGAATATGTCCGAAGGTCAAAACTACTTGACCTTCCCGATGCTTATCGCATCCTTTTCACAAGCTAGGTCAAAAAACTAGCTCACTAATTCAGAAACCAGAGAGTCACCACATTGTGGCACGCTTCAAGTGTGTTAGTGGTAAAAAACAGCTTTGCACAGATTCATGAAGAACCATGAAGAATCTTATTTCCACTAAACTGGCTTTGGGATTCTGGAATTTCAAGCATGGTTTTGGAACTACAAACCTGAATTCATGAAAAAATCGGGCTGAAATTTGTCAACCACCAAAAATTTTCATGAAAAATTCGGGCAAAAAATCCCACTATTCGGGCAAAAAACCGCACTATTCGGGCAAAAAATGCCGAAACTCAAAATTTTCAGAATTTTCATGATTTTTTTTGAAGTTCAAATCTTGAATTTTCATAAATTTTCATGATTTTTTTCATGAATTTTCATGAATTTTCATGATTGTTTGGGTTTGATTTCAATCCATGATTGAACCACTTATCGCCATGTCCCAGAATCTTTCTGGCTGGAAGGTGGGATACGGATAGGATGGAAAGGGGGCACCTTTCCCAAACCTGGTCATCTGAGACCCTGGCACGCGGGGTGGGCATTGTCCATTCAGCCACCATGTCGCTTCAAAGTGACCCTGAGCATGAGCAAATGCTGGTAGAGCTTGCCAGGCTAGAAGCTACTGGGTTCACATCATATTTTATTGGGTAACAATTTCAATCCCCATCATATCTGATTCTGCCTATATATATATATCAAAATAACTCCTGGAATGTGTGGCATCATATTTAACATTATTTAACTATATTGTTTAGTTATGCATATATATATATATATAATTTGGTTCTTGCTGAAGGGCCCCAAACCTCCGACATGTTCCTTTCAAACAATACCTTCCAGCATCTTAGGCTTTGGAAAAAACTCTGATGGAGAACAAATATGCGACCGCTTCAGAGTCAGTGGTTGATGATGAGATGGCCGATGATGACTTACAAATTTTGTTTGTCAAAGAGGCACCTATGTTTTTGACATTGCATCTTGAGCTGATCATGACCACCTGTGAAAAATAACAATTTCTTCTTTTTATATTCTACTGCCAATGCATCGGCAGGCTAAGAATGCCATCAGGCAGTCCCTGGTGAAGAACGAGAATGCTGAGGAGGAATGTCCTTCGCCCACTAAGGTTTGTGGTTCTGCTCCTGCCCCAACGGAACCCCAAGATGACGAGATGAAGAACGATGTGACTGTCCCGGCTGAGATCCCTGAAAGGAATGAAAATCAACCCGTTGACCCGATGGAAGAAGAAACTTCCCCTAGCGAGGCTGAACTTGAAATTCCCAATGCCTTTCCTTGGAGTGAGGAAGATGATTTTCAAGATGATGATGATGATGACCACACACTCGATTACTCACGTAGCAAGAGCAAGTTACCTGATGATGTTCAAAATGATGATGAGATGAAGGATGGTCAGACACCCACTTCAGGGGAAGTGCCGACAGACCCAGCCGACCAGCAGGTTCTTCCGAGCAACCCTCCAGCCCCCGTGCCTGATGGAGGCATGGCGCCAACAGGCACACCGAAACCTGCTTACTTGCGGCTGGATCCAGGTAGAACCACAGAGCGGGGTGGGGCAGGTCATGGTGAGGGTGTTGTGTCAGCACTCATGCCTCCCCCACCAGTGCCATCACAGAAGAAGCGATCAAGAGGGGATCATGATCCATACTTTGAGACGCTGTCACTTCCACCTCAAGTTTTGTCTGACAATGCCATTTACAACCGTGTGTACAGGGTGTTCAAGGCAAAGAAAGATGGGAGCTATGACGTAGATGACAAGTGGGTCAAGGCTTGGCAAGATGTCAAGGATGGACGAAGTCAGCTCTATTCCATGTTTGAGAAGACCGGGTACTCTGTGGACAGGGGTTCAAAAAAACATTGAGATCTATGGAAACAAATTGGGTTAACTATGGAATCAAATTGGGTTAAGTTAAAGCACAATTTATGGGTCTTTAACAGTCAACTTCTACTATATCATATCCAATGTTGTTTTTCTTGAACAGAGCTGGCCATTAATAGTTGGATAATAATAGGCGCCTTTAGGTTTTCCACCTTCAGGTTAAAAACCCTTCAGCGTCTCTCGGCCTGGCAGGAGAAATTCGTCAAGCGCTGCAAGGCGATCACTGAGAGCATCTCCGAAGAGTCCTCCGAGGTGGAGGGTGAATGGCTGACTTATGCGGATATGCAGAAACTGGAGTTTTCCGAGTGGCTTTGATTCAAATTATTATATATATAATTTATATATATATAATATAATATATATAATACATATATACCTTTTATCAAATATTGATATTATACCAAGTACAATATAATATATATACAAATAATGTTATCTGCCTAGAATTTTATAATAATAATATATGTGTATATACATAAATATGGGATATATATATATATATATGTATATTATATAAATATATCTATATATATATCTACATATCTATATATATATATTATAGATTAGTTATCTTTAAGAACCCGACAGCAATGGCATTCCTTCAGGTGATGTTTTTTCAAGAGGATGTGACTTACTGTTCTTTTTTTATCCAGGTATATTCATAGTATGATACATTGGTATAACATTGCTCCTGTTCAGTTGTTCCACCTAGGACGAAGATCAAGGGAGTTATCCGATACTGCGAATCCCGCCCGCACTTACAAAGGCAGGGTGGGCAATGGTACTTTCCCAGTTTTGTGTTTGCACAAGGCCACATGCATCCTATTTTTCACAACATAAATCGAAGCGGCCTGCAGGATGTCCAAGTATGGAGAAGGTCAGATGTACTGGACCGAAATTCGGTGCAAGGGGTCGCTGAAGATCCTAGGCTTTACCAATATTCACAGATTCAAAATGCTTTTTTGATTGTTTTTGACTTCCACACAATCCAGCTATTATCACCCCACTCAGGAGAAGCAAGCGCCACATTTTCCAGGAGATGACTGAGTGGGATGAAGCAAATGACCCTTCCCAACCATCAGAGAACCATGCACTGGAATGGACCATGCTGACTGACAAAAACTCAGGCTGGCTGGGGCCAGTGTTGAACAGTTTTCTTGTTCCACGTTTTCCCAAACATATTCATCAAAAAAAACTCCCTCACTCCCCCACAGCTTGGCCCAGGTGTCCTGGCTCTTGGCGACACGGAGGTGAAGCCTGAGGAGACCGAGGTGATTGCACCAATCCCCCAGGATGCCAAGGCCCAGCTTGCCAAACTTGGCTTTCCCGAGGCGGAAGGGGATGTTGCCCCATCAGCCATGATCCCCAAGGCATGTGCCAGCATTCACAAACATTTAGCAAAGCTTGACGCGGTTCTTTCCGGTTACAATTCCGATTCCTTGTCTGCTCTTCAAGTCAGGAATCTCACCTTAATCATGATGTAGATTTTTTGGTGTTAAAGATTCCCCCAAAGAGTTCTTAGAATTCGCGAATGGGATTTTAAAGGGTTTACATTTGATGTGTTAGCACCTGGTGTTTGTAAAAGTATTATGGATTAAGTATCCCCAAGATAAAATATTCACACATGACAACCAAGAACGTTAGAAGATATGTTAATGTGGTATGACAGTAAACAGGGTAACTTTGGGAATGGGTTATTATAGTTATAATACTTGCAATATCATGCTGGGGCCTTATCGCAAAAAGAACGGTGCATTAATTACCAAACAAGATGGGTAACCATGTGCCTGGTTTATCCCAATTTAATACTTTTTGGGGGATAATCAAGATAAGTATCCCACCCGCAGTCCTGTATATATATGGGCATGGGCAACTTATCCTTTCTTTACAAAATGTAGAAACCAACGATAATGCTATATTGTGTAATTAAGTTGGATTATTCTTTTGGGGTTTGTATGGGAACAATGTTTTGAAAGAGATTGATTCGATGTGGGCTTAAGCTGGTCAACACTCCAATGTAATATTTTGGGCCGCAACTTAGATACTGCCCCTAAGAATTTGGGTTATAGCAGTATAGCAATCAGAAGTAGCTCAGATAAAACATTATGTATCTGAGGATGAAAACGAAATTGGGCCAGATTGTGAATGCCCTCGGCACGCATGAAGAAGCATTGATCGACTTTCATGGCATGGGGCTGATTGATGGCTTTACTGCTGAGCCTCTTAACTGATCCGTCGTGTGGGTGAGCTGCGGTTACCCACAAAAATAAAAGTAAAAGCACTTATTCCCTGATGCGCTCCCGCATTCTGCACGAGGGTCGGCGGATTTCACACAACACACACAGAGGCACATGCACACACACACACAGCGCACATGCTCGCTATTGCGCAATCGCAAACGCACGCGTGATAACAGGAAACCATAATATAGAGAGAGAGAGAGTGAGAGTGTGGAGTGAGAGTGAGAGTGGGAGGGAGAGGGAGAGGGAGGGAGAGAGGGAGAGAGGGAGAGAGGGAGAGGGGAGGAGAGAGCGAAGAGAGGACGGACTAAAGGGTCTCGATCAGGAGGCCAGGACCTCTAGAGAGGGAGAGAGAGGGAGACCACCGATGAGAGGAGGGCGGGAGGGGGGGAGGGAGGGAGAGACGAGAGGCCAATAGATGCTCTCAAAACTGGTGGCTCCTACTGTAAAAACTGGTCAATCTCAAAGTGACAGTGGCCATTAGAGAACCAAGTTTTTTTGATTTGTCTTGGCTAGTGTGATCCATCACATGAATCAGCGTTTCCGTTTTTTACATGCTAGCGGCGTATTTCGTTTGGTTCCCCCATGTGTTTGTTTTGTTCAAATTTGCCTTGCTTGTCTGCTACCGCCTGTTCTTGTTGGAAGATCTTGGGTTGTTTTGTGCTTTGTTGGACGCTGCAATACTTATGCTTGGTAGCCCTTCCTTGCCTTAGTCTTCAAGGCCAGTGAGCGTATGGCTGTGCTTGCCTCGTGCACTGAGATGCTATGTGTTCTCTTTTCTGGGGGGTCGCTTGTTGCAACTACTGCTTGTTTCTATGACTTTGTGAAGACAAAAAAGTGTGCAAGTTGTGTGCCTTTGACATGATTATAATTGACTTACCCTCTTGGGATGCCAACCCTCTACTTGTGCGCACACGAAAGCACACACACACATGCACACAAGACTGTATTTATTTCAGGTGTGCCATTTCCAGTGGCGTGTTAATTTTGGGGAAGCCATAAAATACAGTGCTGATTTTTGGTAGTTGGGTCCTTGGTTCGGCTGACCCTGGTGTAAATAAATAAATATATATAGATATAATATTATATACAATATATATATATACGATGTGTACAATACATTGGTATATGTATTATATTACTAATGTATATATAGTATATATATGCATTATATGTATTATGTATGTTTTTGATATTATGTATATATTACTATGTATTATGTATTTTGTATATGTTGTAAACATTATTAAATATTATATGTATAATATTCAAGGTTAAATATATTGAATCATAAATACCACTTTTGAACGTAGCTAGGGGATGTGGGAAACTAGCAGGACTGATGTTTCGACAATTATAGCATTACAATGAGTCAACTGAAATATGTCACATGGAACGCAATCCAAATTCTATCTTTGGGGTGTGTCATTGTTGTAATCAATCAGTAACCAAATAATATCGTTTTAAACTACTATTGCAAATCTGAGTTGCCAAACTTGGGCCCTTATTTTACAGGTCGAAATATCATCGCAGATTCAACCCTGCTGCGTGCTTTAATCAAGGTTACAAACGAAGATCCAGAGTCAGATGGATGGAGCGAAGCAAAAGCGTGGCCCCCAAACAGAAAAAATGTGAAACATTTACTTACTCTATTATAATGTGTTCTCACCCCTCCTTGCGCTTAGGTTGCTTGAAGGGATGGGCATTTTCCAGTTCGCAAAGTCAGACCCCTAGCTTCAAAGTAGAATCCCCAAACTCGAGCCACGCATTGCGCACCTGCTCGAGGTCTCGCATGCCAGGTCAGAACATGCCTGGCAGGGCAAAGGCAAAGGCTGTCCCAAAACCAGGGGCAAAGGCCAAGGCGGTGCCTAAGGCATCCGCTGCGCCACCCAGTAGGAGGGCCACTGGCAAACAGCCAGCCAGATAGTTCTTTTTTGGAAGCGAAGTTTCAATTTCCACTTTGGATTGTTCCAGTTTTTTCAACAATTCAATTGTGAATTTGTGAGCGTGCTTTGACATTTTCAGTTGGAACAGCCAGTCTATGTTACCAATATGGCCCAAGCGCTGGGACATCAGCGCAATTAAGCTACCTCTTGGACCGAGTTGTATGACAACTCAGTCACTAGCGCACGAGTTGTGCCCCAATTATTTGCTGCTGCGACAAGATGCAAACCGGGGGAAAACAAAATCTTCCCTCTTTGTTTATGCCAGAGAAAGCCCAACATGATAATACACAGGCTGAACCAAATTGTTTGCTTTCAGGCAGCACTATTGTTGCAAGCTTCGCCTTTCCTAGCCAGGTGGCCCCAACACTGGAACCTCTGCTCCAGAACCTCTTCTACTCCATTTGGCCGAGACGATGGGGGATGGAGTTGGTCCCTCAATGTTTTGATTTGATGTCCAGCTAATTACCAGCTAAACTAGGATTACCCAATCAGTAACCCATGGACTCAGCCGACACAGTTGACCCAGCCCAACAATCTTGCCCAGGCCACCGCAGTCAGCGCGAAGCGAGCAGTGCTGGCTGTTGACAACAAGCCTGACGCCAATCCATGCAATGCGGAGAGGGACTTTGAGAGGTTGTGGCAGAGGAAGGGTTACACCATACCCATTCCTATTCACCAAATGGATCATCAAGATGCAACTTCTGAAACGGGTCTCTTGAGAACACACCATGTCAAACCTCAAGATGGGTTAAATACTGGATGGATACCTCGCCTGAAACTATTGGTGGCTGCAACAATGATGCTGAAACAAATTTTTCAGCGTTCTGGGCTTTGTATCGGCTACAACACCCTGAGCACAAGGTGTTCCAACAACATGGGGATCGACTCCATAAAGTGGTTCCACTGTGCATTCATGGAGATGAGGGCCGGGCAGTGAAACGAACGAACTTCTTGGTTTGTTCGGTGGAGTCTGTTTTGGGTAGTGTACAAGATGGTCGAGTTAGCCAGGGATGCTCCTGTGAAGCTAAGTTGATGTCAAGGCCTTCGATTCCGACCTACGAACCGGACACACCTCCACCTGCCATCGATCCCAACATGCTTCGGGTTGCTGCTGAACAGTTAACCAACTTTAAGGGCCACTCATACTTATCAAGAATGTTGATCTTTGGAGTGGGAGGATGGGTATACAAAAAACATCCACACATCGTTGATGCCCTTTTTGAAGAGCTGAGCATCAACATGACCGATCTGTTTGAAAACGGTGTGAAGGTACAGAATGGTGATACCTACTATGCGGCCTGTGTGGCCGTAAAAGGTGACATGGACTTCCATGCCAAAGTCATGGATTTGTCTCGCTCGTACAAGAATGTTGGTACCAAGAATCGTTTGGAAATTTGTCACATGTGCCGTGCTGGTAATCGCCAGTACAGCTTTGAGGATTACAGGGAGTCCCCAGAGTGGCTTTCCACACTTTTCCAGTCAAGACCATGGAATACCGACAGCCCGCCAAGCCTTTGCCAGATTCCCTTTGATGACCAATCTCCAGAGCGCATCCTTCAGGGAGACACTTTCCACTTGATCAAGCTTGGCATAGCAAGGGATGTCATTGGGGGAGTACTGATCCTACTTCTTCGTTTGAAATTCTTTGACCATGAAGGTTCGCCAACCAACTTGGATAGCAGATTTCAACGTGCCCACTCATACTTTGCACTGTGGTGCCGTGCCACAGGCAAGACTGCGGGGCTTCGGTCGTTTACCCCGTCATTTTTCAACATGAGACACGGGTTGATGTCAGCCCCGTGGGCAAGTACCAAAGGATCTGACAGCATCCTTTGTCTGGAATGGCTTGTGTTTACATTGAACCAGCAAATGGCAAATCCTACTGTGGCAGGACATGACAGGATGTTGAAGCAAATGCACCAAGTCTGTGAAGCATGCTTGGGGGTCAACATGGTTCATTCCCACGGGCTCTGGCTGAAGCGAACCTGTGCCAGGTTACTCTATGGTCATTTCATGACTCTGCTTCGTGGCTATGCGCTTCTGGGACAAAAAGCCCTGACCCTGAAGATCCGGGCCTTCATCCAGAAACCAAAGTGCCACGGTGTCCATCACATTGCAGTAAGCCTGAAGCGCCAACTGAAATTGGGGGTGCCCTTGGTTTTGTCACCGCAGGCATTTGCTTGTGAAATTTGTGAAGATTTCCTAGGCAGGATCTCTAGACTTTCTCGCAGGGTGGGATTTAGATTATGCCACCTTCGAGTAATTCAGCGCTACTTTCTCAAAGTGTCAGCTCTAATTCGAAAGCGAAAAGATCAGAAGCGAAAGAAGAGATGAAAATCAGAAGACATTGTTCAACCCGTCTAGGAAGCCATTGTGGGATTGCAAATGTGCTCAATCTGAGGGCCACACATGGCTCCATTCCAATTCCGTCAGCTAATCGGACTGCTGCTTTGTGTTGGGTTTGCATGGTGTGAACTTGGAACATTTTGGGGCAATTTTTCCTTAGGATTTCTGAAGTATGCATCCCCCTATCCATGCCATTCAACACCTGAAGTGGATGTCAAAACCATGGAAACTGCACTTTTTGTCAAAAGTGCCTCAGGCTAAATTTTCAACTCGGGCCAAATTTCCTGGATCGGGCTAAAATTTCAGCCTGAATGCATTCAGACCATTATTATGGCCTGAGGATTTCCTAGGTATACACATAAGCACACACACACACCTTGGAAATTCCATGTTTTTTTCTGCCTCAAACAGACGTCATCCACATCCCGTCCGGGTCGAGGCATGTTGTCCAAAGCTTTGGAGCTCTGGGCATTCCGCGTGTCCATCTTGTGCAAGTCGATCCAAGCGAAGGCTGCTGCCATGAGTGACCTGGTGCCGTAAGAAAAAGACGCGAAGGAGACGACATTTCTTGCAGAAATTGGCCCGAGTTATACCAGTTATAAGTACTTACAAGCCCATTTATAGAATGTAGACTCCCATTTATAGCCAGTTATAAGTCATAAATGGCCATAACTAACTGTGGAGCAAACATAGATCCAGCAGCCAAAATGGTGGATAACATCACTGTACATCACTATTGACCCAAGAAGGGGTTCCTAGACTGTGCAGAAAAAAGTGGTGATCTTAATAGGCACTATTTCCAGCTTGAATAGGGGAATTTCAACTGAAAGTATCGTTTTTTTTAACAGTGGGTTCAAGCAACACTTTTGTTTGTTTGACTCTTTTTATCATATGATTTTGCGTTCCCAGCCTTCTGACAGAGCCCCCACAGGCTCACAGACTCATAGAAGTACGTCGTTCTGAATCCTCATTGTCGTGAGGTTCTTTGGTCATTGGCTTGGTCTTGGCCTTTGTATACTGCTGGCAGATGGCCTCTTGGACTAGCGCACCTTGATTTTGGCGCTAAGATTCTAAGGATTCTGAGAATATCTTCGAATTGATGGTTCAACCCTCAAAAAACTCTTCTTACCGTAGAGCCACTCTGCCCAAAACTTCTTCAGTTTTTCTCAGAATCCTTTGAGTTTCTGTCGCTGAAAAGCAGCCACAGATGATTCTGAGGCGCTGATTATGCTGGGTTCTATCCCTGTGATGGTCTTGGCCAATGCAGTTCAGATGGTAGTGCTCCTGGGTGCGGCCAAATCGGAGAACGAGAATCTGACGCAAGCGCAGCAGATTGTGACCGACAGCGTGGCGTGGCGATCAAAACTGGGCGGGTGATGGCCGGCGCTTTGCTGCGCAAGTTTTGTTGACACCTTTCACTGGTCACAAGTGCTCACAATTGTTCACATATGACACGTGCAGAAAAAAAACGGTTGTTTTAGATGATAGCTGGGTTTAGATGGCGATCCCATGGGAACAGATTTGAAGCCTCTCAAAGTGAATCCCCATTTTCGAACCCTACAGATGTTTGATGATTCTTGGGGCTCACCAGATTTGAAGAAACAATGCGTGCTATTATTCAAAACAGATATTGGTTTCTTACATCTTTGTGTTGATAGGCTGCATCACTGCAATGTCTGGCTGATAGGCACGTATCACAAGATGACACAGTATAGCTTATTTATATATATATATACAGTATACGTTTGTTGACACATTTTTCAACCATATTGAAACTATGCAACTATGTCGGCCCCCTGGCATCATGTAGGCATGAAGAATACTCTGACTAACGGTTCGGTCTTGCACCGTATATATCCAAAGTTGCGTCACAAGAACCTCACATAAACCCACCAGAGACAGGATTCCGAATTGAAAATGATAATAGACCAGCTTTGGTGTCTTATCCTTCTAAAACTCATGAAATCCCATTCAAATCTACTTCATATTACCTTAATCCTCTCATTTGAATGACCCCCCCAAGTTTTCCAAGCAGATGCCTTTGCCAAATGGAAAACTCAGCATGTTTCAGCCATATGCCTATAGTTTCAATAAATCTCACTATGGTTTACTTAACATCTCCCACCCAAAAGTTGCACCTTTTCAGTGGAATCAGCAAGATCCAGGTGATGAACGCACGCACAGTTCAAGCTTTGGGAGTCGAGCATTCCTTGGTCTCAATGTATGCTGCCTGGGTCGAGCCCCTTGGACACAGCTGCTGGCAGATCAGCGGCAGTGGATCAGTTTGACACGTGGACTCATCCAACAAGTGACGATATCCATCATGTGGCCCCTTTCAATGGGAAAATGATTGTCAGACCCAGATCGAGGTGGGTCAAAACCTTTGAAGTGATTGCCAGAAGTGGATACATTTGGTGGGTTAAGGTGAGTTGAAGTCTATTGACTGATTTTTATGTGACGTTCACTAGTCAACTGTTGTGGACCACAACCAACTCTGGCAAAACTAACTGATGGATGGTCAAATGTTGGTGGGCTTGTTCCAAAGGGATTACAGATGTGGGCTTAGATTCTTCCCCATTTTGCAATATTTTGCGGATATTTTTTTGACCCACACACACACACACACGCATACTATGTACATATACGTATCCGCATTACTCATGGTTTATACTTTATACGTTTTCATGTGCAAGATACATTCAGCATGCAATATTCATCACTGAATTTTCCAAATGCAAGGGGGTGTGCACCCGGGGCCCTTGAAAGAATCGCGGGCTCAGGAAGGCCATGAAAGGGGCTTGGCTCCAAAACTTCTTCGCAGGTTTGGGCTTCGGCGTGTCGCTTGCCGTTGGATTCAAGGTGGCCGTAACTTGATACCTGGGTAACCTGGGTACTGGGTAAATTGGTACAATGCGGTGCCCCATAGTTAGATAAAAGCTGGTTTATAGCTACAATAACAAGGGTTCATTGTAGATTGTAAATATATCTACAGTTACTTGGGGTTATATAACAACTTATATCTGGGGGGGCACCACCTTGTAAACCCCAGTGACTAAAGATGGCTACAACATGTTGCATGACATCTAAGTATACCGTGTCTCATTGAACTTGTAACGTGGGTCATAAAATTGGGACTTGCAGGATACGACGACAGGGTTGTAAGATGCTCACAGATTACCTGGCCATGAGACCTACATGGTGAACTTAGGCCCAGCTAGGGGACTTCCTAAGCAGCTGAAAAACTACTTCAGCAACTAGGAACACATCCAACATAGGAAAGGCATCCGAGAATTCGCAATGTATTGGACCATCTTGTTGGACCAAACAATTGAGTTCTTGAAGTCCACAGGATCTGCTAGCCTTTGACAAGGGCACAAATTTAACCAGGAAATGGAAAATCCCTTTGTGACAAACCTTTGTGTAGATGAATCACATGTAGCAAAATAGATATAGGCATTCCCCGTTTCCAGGTCAAAGTGCCATGACTTCTCATCACAATTGAAAGAACCATAGGCAAATTCCACATCAATGGGATACTTTGTCCACCCAATTCATTCAGCTCTTTTGAAATACCTTGCAGCTGATTTTCCCACTCCACTTTAAACGCACCTTAGGTCATCTGGCATCATGTTCTTCATCATGGCTGGTGGTTTTTACCTGGCAGCTTTGCTAATCAAGGATGGCATAGCGGATTTTGAAGGCGCGGACTTCGCTCATTTCACGCCCATATGCTCCATGTATGGAGTATTCATCCACAATTACCCGCATCACCGGGTCATTTCGCAGGACATGTTGGTAAACACTCCATACATGCAGCATTCGAGATGCTTTTCTAGGCTTGTGTTTCTTGTGGATCCGCACGAATGTGTATATAATTCCGCTCCTTTAGATAATGGCAGCCATAATGAGGCAGGATAACCTCCAATCTAACCTTTCATGCGAAACCATGCGAAACCTCAATGTGCCCAGTATACATGGGCCTTTTGTTTATCGATCCTTGCGTTCCTCCAAATACTTTTACCAGACATGTAAGTTTACGTCTTATCTTTTGTTTTGATTCTTCGCAAGACCATGAAACCTATGGACATCAATGTCCTTCGACTATATTTGTTGCTTGTTTCAAAGAGTATTTTACCAAATACGTTTGGAATCATTTGTAGGCATGCTGAAACCCACAAAGTGGAGGCTCCTCAGTCCAGTTGTTTTTACACCCATCCAACTGCAAATCTCTACATATATATATATACACCGTATATTATATCATACTATGTTACTATCTTATGACGCATATATATATATATATGTTTACACACCATATATCCGATATATCCACCAAGAATATCAGTGATTGGCGTTACAGACTGGCCAACTTCCCAACATGTTAGGGTCCCCCATTTTACTAAGTTGTTTATCACCCATCCAATCCAGATAAAGACGAGGCTAAGCTTCATGGGAAGGGCTGAGAATGGCTTATATATGCTTAGAGTATGAGGAACAACACCGTATCCCTTTGTGCAACGAGGAAAAGACAGTTGAGCAAGGAACTAGATCGAAAATTGAGCACTTAAAGCTGTCAAGCGGATTTGTTCCGAAGCTTTGGAAGAAAATCCTAAACCATGGAGGTTGAGAGCATCAATTTTCCTGTCAATCTGTCACCGAAGGGGTTCTGGACATAGAAACTTTCTCAAGAATCCTGTATCTAGTTTCATTCTGGCGCAGTAATGGTGGACCATTACTGATAGCGCTTTTTTTTGCTATTTTGATTTGTGAAAATACAAGATGGCGAACATGAAAAAGAACAAATGATGAGGACTAAAAATCCACCAATTCCAGAATTCCTGGCTGGTCACCCCAGGTTCTCAGGACGGAAGGGGGGCTGGTATATATATATATATATACATACGGCAATTATACCAATAACTTTAACCATAGTTTTACCCACAAAAACACGCCCCAGTTCTGCCCGCTAGGTGTGATGATGGCCTTCATGGGTATCTTCTACGCCGGTGCCGGTGCTGGACAAGCTGCGGTGATGGTAGGTGATGCCAGCAAAGCGAAGGCAGAACGCATGGCATGGCGCATGGCATGGCATGGCGCTGGTTATCACTTGGTTTTTGTCCTGAAAACCGGTGGTTGAATGACGATTTAAGGGGGACACCAACCATTTTTGGGGTATATGTTGGGATACAACCAACCGGCAATATTGAGATGGATAATCGAATCCATGGTGTTTTTGTGGTGCCCTAGTCATTGGAGCCATCATAGTGGCATCCAAACCTTGCTTCCACAGTCAACTTTTCATTTGTGGCTCCTGATTTTTGGAGCGATTTAAAATGCTGGGGAGTATCTGATAAAATTCAGGTACGGGACGCGCCCCCCAAGTTTTATACGTTGCTTTGTAAATTCAACACTAGATAGATAGGTAGAGAGAGATATATATAGATAGATAGATAGATAGATAGATAGATAGATAGATAGATAGATAGATACATAGATAGATAGATAGATAGATAGATAGATAGATAAATAGCGCGTCTATATAATGTCTATATCTGGTGTGTGTATATAAATATATATATATATATTTATTTATTTAATTGTATATCTTGTCATCACCAGAACCGGAATCTGAGGATCTTTTCGGCACCTCCCAGCGGTTCTCCCCAGGTGGCCTGTCACGACATGTTCCAACTCATGGACCGCGCGTCGCTGATCGAAGGCTTGGAACCTACTGGAGAGACCCCTGAGGCGTCACCTTGGCGGAACCGCACCGGCCATGGGATACCCGGCCTGGTAAACCATGGGAAAACCATAGGAAAACCATGGGAAAATGGTGATTTATATGGAAAACCACTATTTTTTAGTAGGTAAATCAACGAACTAAATGGGCCATTGTCAATAGCTATGTTAGTTTACCAGAGGGTAACATACAATGTGGTGCCCCAGTTTGTTCGCTAAGTTAGTATCTATATATTTACTTGGGGTTTTAAAACAACATAGCTATGGGATAGATGGCCCATTTATAGTAAACAAAGCTATCATATTTCCATCAAAACATATGGCTCATATATCATATATGATTTATAGTTGATTGACCTATGAAAAGTAGGAAAAAGTGGTGATGTTCCATAAATATGTTAGCTTACCAGAGGGTATAGAATGGAACGACACTTTGGTGACTTGAAACCAACTAACCAATATACAGTTGCATAATCCCACTTCACCGCACTTATAAAACTCATATTCTGTTGAGATGGGTAGTTGAAACCAGTTGAATTTATTATAGGAATCCTCTGGGACTCTCTGCGAGGGTCATTGGATGGGTTGCAGAGGAAACTCTTTTTGGTGGCTTCCTGCGATTGTCCTTTCATCCTATTCTGCTAGAAAAATACCGTAGAACCCGTAGAATGACCTACCATGGAACGTTTGGCGTATAAAGTGTCAGATGCCTTGCTACGATACAATTTCTACCCCCAGTCTCCCCAGTCTGGGCTTTTCTGAGAAGAGGATACCTTGAGATCTGATTTTTGATTATGTTTAACCACTAGTTTACCCGTTTAAACATGCCAACATGGGGCGCCGGGTCGGCCCATGGCCAAGGTTGGACGCGGGGACTATCGAATTTGCAGATGTGAAGTTCTTTTATCCCTTCAGGTCGGGAGGAATGGTTCGGGGAAGGCTGGTTCCACCATGACCCAAATCTGAGTTTCAACATTCAACCCTGGCAATGTGCCCCCAGCCAGGCTCAGTCCTTTGTTCCTTGGCCATAATTTCCCATGTATTCTATGACCCCATTCCAATATTTTCCCATGAAATCTATTTTCCAACAAGAGAAAACATTGATCTCCCCCAGATGGTTGTAAGGATTCTTTTCATAGTCACCTGTTGGTGGTTTCAGTCTCAGTATGTCTCATACAGTTTCCATTGACGCAGAGAAGATCATAAAAGCAGCTGGTTTTCCCATGAAACATTCCCAGTAAACCACCATTATATCATTATCATTATCATGAAACAATGAGACTCAAAGTTGCCAATGGTTATCCTAAAAGCCGTGATCCTCACAAAAAACGTCTTCCGGTTATAAGTGGGCATATTTCAAGATAGTTATAGGAGCCCCATATCCCAAATTATGTGGGTTTTTCAATGCCATGGTTCTGTGGGATTTGTCTTCAAAATATGGCTAAACAAATTGTACATTCATTTTAGGGCCTTGGAATTTCCATTGATTTTGGATTATATAGAAGTATATGAAAGTTACAATTAATAATAATCAATAGAAATGTACACCAATTATCCATGAACAGCAACATGTCGTAACTACTTGTCGGTGATCGAGCGCCAATTATCCAGTAATTTTCAATAATATTTAGTATCACTTGTCCATTGATAACATAGTAATAAACATAAAAAGTGACAATATAGTAAATATAGTACCTAATTATCATTGCTAATAACAGAATGTAACGGATATATATATATATTATATATATATATATATTGCTATTATGTAATAACATATTAATGGTATACTCTGTCAATATAGTATAATTTTTCCATCTTATCCATTAATAACATATATAGTAATACATCACATCTACTGTAGTAACTATATAGTACCAATTATCCATTTGATGTAGTAACTAATATTGCTCGGGCAAGATCTCTATCCATTCATGTAACTAATATATAGCAATTACATAGTAACATTCATTAATGGTATACAATACACTTAGCACCAAAGATCCACTGTGTGCTGTGTTCGCTTTTGAGATCGGCAGCGTTGAGGCCAGCCATCCAGGTCCTCAAAGGCATCAACTTCCGCATCCTTCGTGGCACCTCTGTGGGGCTCGTTGGGCCGTCGGGGGGGCGGCAAGAGCACGGTGCCCTCGGCGGCGTTGTGTGTTGTTGAAGGGGAAAACCACGGATGGAACATCTATAAATCATAAATGGAAGGTTGTAATTTAGATATGAAAATCATTGAAAATCTGAATCTTCTGCTCATCTAGAGGTGGTTTCCCCCCTGTTTTTGAGAATATCCAAAAAATAGTTGTGTGAAAATCTGATATGTAGGAATTTGCAGATGGTGATTTTGTCGAATATGATCAAATATATATGTGGATTTCCCAGCCATGTTTGATTCCCTGATGGTATTTGGATCCATCAAAATGGCTAAAATCTACTCTGTGACTGCAGAATACTGGAATACAATTGAATACAGCTAAATTTTCAAAAGGAAGCATTCAGCGAATCCAAGAATGCGGGTGAAACAATGCCATAAATAAACCATCCCCCAGCCATCAGCACTTTTACACGTGGTATGAACTTATATACCATTTCCCCAGTTGGGGTTGCCACACGTGGTGGCCTCCCAGGTGATGTGCTTGCTGCAACGCTTTTATGATCCACAGGACCCGGGGAGATCCCTGAACGTTGGTCTCTGGAGATCGCCGGTTTTTTGTGACACGCAATAGATGTTAGGGATAGATGTTAGGAAAGGAAACACCATTTGCATTATGATTCTAGTTCCTTTGGAATATATGGAAACTTCATGCAAACTGAAAATCTCTGACAGAATCTGACAAGTTTCTGGTTTTGCTTAGCTGTCTAGCACGTTCGAAGCAGAATCCATCGTGGGCATTGAACAGTATGTTATGTAATGTTTTGTAATTCATCCAAAGTGTCTAGTACTGGTAGCTGGGGTAAATCCCAACACATCAACCCTTTTATAACCCACTTCCTAACAACCTTTATAACTGATTATGGCAACATCTAAGTAGGCCAACTGTATAGCAGTAACTACCGCAAATCCGAAGGTAGCTCACGTAGTTCTACGCCCTTTGGATCCCTTTGGTACTCACAGGCGACAATGGAATATTTCCAATGATGGATGGATGATTTTCTCATTGAATTGCCAGTTGTTGTTTCTCTGGGGGTGTCCCAGTCATCCAAGTCATCTAGCTCAAGGAAGATCGATTGAAATCACCAGGTGTTTTTGCCATTCCAAATTCCATTTAGTTCGGGGATTTCTCAGCTAGCCATGTTTGGTCGTACCTGCTTTAGCGGGTGCACAGGGCGCAAGCACAGAAAGAAAAAAAAATAAAGAAAGAAAGAACAAAAGAAAGAAAGAAAGATTACCGAAGAGTATAGTACGTGGTTTTGTAACCATAGTTAGGGGTTATATCCCAACTAATGTGGGTTATTACCATGGTATACCATGCTCATGGTATCCCCATTACCTACCCCAAAAAAACATCGGATGATTTCAGGAGGGGCAGATCTACATCGGTGCCGAGCGACGCCCTTTGAAGTCCTTGAACATCCGCTGGTGGCGCAAACAGCTGCTGAGAAAAAACCACCGCTTTTGGGAAGCCTTGGTGGGTAGCAATGAGAATATGGGCCATGGGCCATGGGAAAGCTTCGCGATTCCTGGTGAAAACTGGGGATTTGTTACCCCCAAACAATCCCAATTTGTTTATCCATTTACGAATTAGTTAACTAACTCCATGGCCCATGGTTTAGTAATCCCGTCCCCTCAATACATATCCACCCAGAAAGCATGGTTTAGTTGGGGATTCCACATAATTGGGACTGTTAGTGGGTGTTGAGTATTAGGGGGATGGGATTACCAATTACCAATGGACATTGATAATAGTATCCATTTTATAATAGTGGTCAATATCGTGTAGCAATGGTCAATAATAGTGACTACTAGTGGTCGATAGTTCTAGTTTTGTTTTACATGTTATATAGATACCTGAGGGTTTGCAGAGGTTTTCAAAGTATAGATCTCAATGTATGTTGACACTTTATGTGATAAATTAAGGTTTTGCTTTGCTGGCCAGCTTTGGCTGGCCATGTTGAAAAGAACAAGTGACGCGAATCTAGGAGTGACCGATTGACCGTAATGGTTCCCCAAAGATCATTGTGATGAACTTAAATTGACAAGGTGGCTCAAGTGCCGTTCCACTATGTTGCGCCCAAGGTAGGAAACCATGGGAAACCAACACCCAGTACAGGTCACAAACTCATAGAGAGAGAGACCAGTTTGGAGTGGCCTACTCAGGAGTTCAAACTGGATACATATACAACCTGCTGAAATCAAGGAAGATCAAAGGCAAATAGCTCAACTTCATTCCTTGACTCCTTTTTATCATTTTTGCTGTCCGCCTTGCCCTCTTCAGTCAAGGATTGGATTCGTGGGACAGGAACCCATCCTCTTCAACAGCACGGTGCGAGAGAACATTTTGTACGGAATGGAGAAGGCTGGTAATGCAACCGGGCAAGGGGAAATTGCAGGGGTTTGACATGGCATTTGATGAACACATAACATTGAGAAACCATATGCTACTTATACTAGTCTTGAGATGCCAACAACATAGATAGATCACCATAGATGCATTTGTTCTGCTAGTCACCTTCCTCCTCTGCGAGAAAGATGCATAATCACATACATGTGTTGTATAGCTGCCAATCACGTCACATGTTGCGGCATGAAGATCCATGGCCAGCAACGCCAGCGATGCCAGGATGACCAAGTCACAGAGGAACACATCAAGAAGTGCAAGGAGATGTGCAATTTAGGCCGCTGGATGTCACTGTTGCTTTTTGGCGGAAAAACATCGACCGCATTGGCGAAGGAAAACTATTGAAAAAAAACAGGATGTGGTTCAAATAGCCCCCTCCGTTGTATGATGTGGCTTTCACCCCTGGTGCCAAGGTCAAAATAGATCTGTGGTCGGTAAGACAAGACCAAAATCGTGGGCTGCGAATTTGTACAGCTGGGTTTCAAGCCCCTTACTAAGTATTTGTATGTCCACCATTCACCCTATAGTTAACACATGGAGGTGTCCTAAAATGGAGGTACCCCTAAATCATCCATGTTCATCGGATTTTCCATTATGAACCATCCAGCTATTGGGGTACCACCAGTTATGGAACCCCCTAAATATAGTTGGAAACCAACTTAGCTAAGTATCTGGCACCACCTCATCGATGGCGTCGCAGGTTTCCTGTACACCGATGGCAACACTGGATTGAACACAGAGGTGTGGTGAAAACGCTTGGCGAATCCCATTTTTTCGATGTTGACCAGGCAACTGATGATAAACCATCAAATTTGGGGGTATCATGGAATCATGGAATCATGTGAATATCATTCTGGGTAAAGTTGATCACGACCTCACTGTGACCGATCCCTGGAATCATGGTGAATGTATGGGAAATCATCCCCAAATGGCCGCAAGATTCAGGTTAGTGAATTATTACAATTTACCCAGATCATTATGTTCTCCTCCATAGCTTATTCTAATGATTAAAAGGAAAACAAATGGAAAATCAAAAAGCAAAACTTCAAAACTAAAAAACGGAAGCACAATAAATGGGGAAACAAAGGACAGACAAAAAGGGAAAAACAAATGGGAAAAATTGACTTGTTCATTTGCATTTTTGTTGCATTTATTTTGCTTTTTCGATTTGCCCTTTGTGATTTTATTGTGCATTTTTCCCAGGCAAGATGATAAACTTTATCATACTGCATGGCTACATGATGTCCTTTGAAGTTGTAGGAAAGAACATGTCATTTTATTGACTGCACAACTAGCGCAACAACGAGTGCTATTGTGGTCTTCGCCGCTTTTGTTTTATGTCACACTAATTTACACTAAGTTGCTGCACAAGAAGACTGGGATTCTATGCAATCCAAAATAGAGTGCCTTTATATGTAATTATATGTGTATTTAAATAAATATAATATATATATATAAGTATATTATAGAAATATATTGAATCATATATCATACTATATGTTGTTGATGTATGCTATCATAAATTTATGGTACTGCAGGTATATAGCAACAAGAAACAACAACATCTCTACCAAGCCCTGCTAGGTGGGTCCCCGTGGAAGTCGTCTGTCGGGGGGACAGAAGCAGCGCGTGGCCATTTGCCGCGCCCTGCTGCGCGAACCCAAAGTCATGCTGCTGGATGAGGCGCGCTGGAGGGAAAGACTCTGGGATTCACGTTGATTTCACTAAAAAGTGTGATTTAGCCAGTGAACAGTGGTGATTTAAGCATAGTTAAACAATGAAAATTATGATTTAGCCGGCAAAAATTGTGCTTTAGCTGCTTTAGCCAATAAAAAAAAACTAGTTTAGGCAATGAACATGTTGCTTTAACCAAGAAAGATGAATGATTTAAGCAATAAAGGTGATTGAATCTCAAAAACAGATTAAAAAGTCCGTGGGTTACTGGGATTGTAATGGGTTTAATGGGACGCATCGGGATTACAATGTGTTTATTTATTGGAAGATAATTGGCATAATACCAAGTAGTGCCAAGTTGGTTGAACCAAGTAGGTTGGCTGGGACTTGTGTTAGGTGTATATCTATCTATCTGTCTGTCTGTCTGTCTATCTATCTATCTATCTATCTGCCTATCTATCTATCTATCGATCTATCTATCAAACTATATTTCTATCTTTCTATCCGTCTATATTGATATGTGGCTACCGTTCTATTGTTCTATCTTTCTATCGTTTTGTTTTTCTATTTTTTCTATTGTTCTAGCTTTCTATGTTTCTATCTTTCTATCGTTCTATCTTTCTATATTTCTATCTTTCTATCTTTCTTTCTAGTGTTTATATCTTTCTATCTTTCTATCTGTCTATCTTTCTACCTGTCTATATTTCTATAGTTTTATTGTTCTATTGTTCAATTTTTTTATTTTTTCTATATTTCTATCGTTCTATATTTCTATCTTTCTATCTTTCTATCTATCTGTTGTACGTCCTATCGTTCTATCTTTTTATTTGTCTGTCTTCATATTGTTCTATCGTTCTATTGTTCTATTGTTTTATCTATCGATCTACTATCAATCAATCAATCAATCAATCTATCTATCTATCTATCTATCTATCGAGCTATCTAGCTATCTAGCTATCTATCTATCTATTTATCTATCTGTCTATCTATCTATCTGTCTATCTATCTATCTATCTGTCTATCTATCTATCTATCTATCTATAACTAATGGTGTTCAAAAATGTTTCTAAAACCAACTTATAGCTCGGGCACCACGTGGCATCATGGCTCGTAATTGCAGTGTCATAGACCGTCCCCAACTTCACCTGCAATGGGTTGTTCTTAAACATCAACAGAAACAGTTGGGTATTCAAATGTCAACCAAGGTGTTTTTATGGACCCCTGGACTGTTAATCGCCATTGTTGTAGCAGGTGATCTCACTACAATTCATCCGCCAGGATAATAAACAACCATTGGTTGACAGTATGATGTTATATGATGTTAATGTTCCTGACTTGTTGGTGGTTTCAAACATTTTTTATTTTCCAGTTCACATATGGGATGCTCATATTTTTCAAGTGTAAAGCCACCAACCAGCTAAAACCATCCCTCAGAGGCCACATCAGCATTGGATTCGCAAAGCGAACAGCTGGTGCAACAGGCCGGCGGAGCATTTTTAGGAGGCCATGGCGGCCATGAACCAGATACAGTCAGATACAGTATTGACCTCGAGTATCTGAATATTTAAACATACTGAATATTTAAATACTGAACATACAGTCAGATACATGTCGGTATTTTAATATGAACCAGTTAGACAATGTTTAAAATACATGTCTGTATGTTTGAAGCGGGGATGCCCCCCGGCAACTTTTGGGAACATGATGATCAACCATCATTTTTGTTGGCAGTCCATGATCTCCAATGGGGGAGACGCCAGGGACTGTTGGACTTGGTTTTGCCACATGTGATACCATAACGAAGATCATTTAAGGTAAAGTCGGTAAAGTATTTAACAAAGATATGGCATTATATCACATATTCATACATATATATATATATATATCATGATTTTCTGAACAGGAAACCACCTGTTTTTAATCCTCCAAGAACCAACGTCATTTGCCGCAGAGTATGTGGTTGGCAGGTGGCTAGGCAACGCTTGGGAAATGGTGCGTGCAAATGGCTTGGGATAATGATCATCCAAGCCCCTGTTTGTTAAGCTTCAAGATATGCCAGATATCCAAATGATTGGACTTGGATGTACATGGATTGACTAGTTACATCCATTGTTGCTTATTTCCCAAATCATGATAATCATGCAAAATGTGATATCATCCTAAAATCATAGCAAACCTCTTATCACTATTTGGGTAGGATTCCACTGAAAAATCCCAGGTAGGGAAGACGACAGACTTGGTGTTTGATTGATTTTATGGGCCTATACCCTCCTGCAACCAAACGTGGCAATTGGAAATCCCACCAAAAAATGTTTTTTTTAGTGGGAACATCAAGATACATCAAGTATAAATGGAGGACTTTCCAGCAAGCCATGTTTGGCTGCCGGAGGGCTTACGTTGGTTGAAATAGATAGGGTCATTTCATGACACTTCGACGGGGTTGTAACCTGTAAACCACCATTCAGAATCCATGTTTTAACCAGTATTAAGCACTATTCACCATTATTATACCATTTTAATTAATGGGCAATTAATAATAATCACAACTATATATCATATAAACATTGTTAACCATTTTTAATAATAATGGGTAATTAACCATATACTATTATTACCCATGATTATTAAAAAATACTAGACAGCATTATTAAGAACTATGAACCATTGATAATCGTTGAGATATTCTCAAATATTCGACCTAAAGTCCCACCCTTGAACTAGGCATGGGTTGAACAACGTTCGGTTGTCGGAGGCGTTGGAGGCGGCCCTGGCCAACCGCACCAGTTTTGCCATCGCGCATCGCCTCAGTACCGTTCAAGGCGAAAATCCCAGTCCCATGATGCAGGGGTAGGCCCTACGAAAACACCAAATTAAGATAGGTCCGATAGGTGTTAAGATCTTGCCGTGTCTTGGTTGGAGAATGTTGGAGTCTAATACGAGATAACAATGGAGCATGCAATGGGATGCATAGGGGATGACTACTATATAGCATCATATATTATGGCTACTGCCAGAGAATCTAGTCAAGATATGCACCATGGGCCCCGAGCGGAAGCCGAGCGGAAGCTTGGATGAGATGACTGGGCAGGTTGCGACCTGATTTTGGTGAATGCGGATGGACGCGTGGTGGAAAGTGGAACGCATGGGGAACTGATGATGATGAAAGGTGTGCCGTGGCAGCTAAGCATGGGATTCATATGGATTCATGTATAATGTGGTCCCCCCCAGTTAGAAGTTGGTTGATAAGCAGCAGTAACTATAGTTATAAGTACCATACACCATAGTTATTGGAGTTATAAACCAACTTAGCTATCTTGGGGGCCTCACATTGTATAATATTGGATTCATTGATGGGTTTGGGGATCCCAATTTTTGGGACTACTCCCGCGACGCCTTTCTGGAATTTTCTGGATCCCACCGATCTTGTTTCAAGGGCAGGTTGGCAGGTAAAACCCATGGGAAAACCGGAATTCATCTTGGGAAGCTTGACACCGTTCAATCTCGATGCTGTTGCTTCTATACGTTCGCATTTCCCGAATGGTGTTAACCTGTACGAACCTGTACATCCTAAACCCATGGGTTCGATCCTAAAATCGTCTTGTGGTGTATAGTTTCTGTTTGAAAGGAACACCCATATGAAAGGCTCTATGCTCCAAGATGCGCGTATGTGCGCTTTCTTTTGGGGGTGATGGATTTTTTTTCATCTCGCAGAAGCTCAGCCAGATGAGGTTTATTACCAACTTCAAATGCAATCGCAAAAGTAGCTGCTTGGAAAAGCCGAGCGCTGAGAGAAGGTATGTACAGTGCTTGATTTGGTGCCGATGCGTGTACCACAGCCTCCAAGACGTGAACAGAAAGGACGACGGGATTTAATAGCAAGGTTGGCCGACCAAAACATTCTGCATGATTTTGGAGTTCCCCAGCTTGAGCCAAAACTGCATCAATTTCCTGTCATGAGGCATAATATAGTTGGACAATTCTGGCAATATGTCAAGACCAATATCGTAATCACATGTATACAGTATATATATATATATATATTATATTACATTATAGTATATTTTTAATATATATATATATATATATTATATTTATAAATATATCATTTTTGTCGTATATTTTTCCATTTTCCATCATACCTCCAGTCTTGGGTCCCTAGTTGCTGCAAAAACTCCACTGGATCCAATCATATACGTCCCATCCAACCAGTTCATTGGTTTCAGGATTCAGGAATACCATGAATTCCCGTGAGTTCCAGCTATAGGATATAGGATATATGAATAGATAAATAATTATACATATATATATATATGTGTATATGTATATGTATGTGTATATATATATATAGGGGAGAGGACCTGCGTTTCAGGCATGCCAAGTCAAGATTTTGACCGGTGCCACTGGCTGGACGCCATCCTTGCGACCTCGGCAAGACGATGGGAGCCAGCCAGGTGGTGCCGGTGCCGGCTGGGCGGGTGCCCCGCTGAAAGCGGCGAGGTCGCCTAGCGGCCTAGCAGCGGAGGGGGATGAAGCAGCGATTTTTTCAGTAAAAATGGTGGGTTAACATGGTTTCATGGAATTAAACCAGTAAAACTGGTGGTTTTTCATGGGATATTCGACAAACTTACCGTCTGGTAATCAAACATGACTAGGAAATCCCAGCGTGTTTGATCGTATTTGATTGCCAGAGGGTAGCCATTTGCCATGAAAGTTATCCTCTGGCAATTTGTTCCCGTTTGCAAACTGGAATCCATCACCATTTCTAAAAGCGGTAAAATCAGATTGCTGTAACCATCGAACTAAACAGGCCATGGCTTCGTTTTCTGAAATGTTCAACGGATCCATTGAATCTGCCATCCGTTTGCTCACTGATAACCTGTATCAACACATGTTGAAGCCGTTTTTTTTTACATGTTTCAATTGGGAATAACTCTAGTGTTATAATGTGCCGTAATATATATATATATATATTGTATATGTAGACACACACACAATACACACACAAATAAATAAATAAATAAATATATATATATATAAACATTTCCTACATATATATGCATGTACTATATATATATACACACACACCCCTGATGTTGCAGTATTATTCACGTTCACCACCACGGTATTTCAACACCCACAGCTGCTTTGTTCCCAGCATTTTTGTGGCGCTTCGTACGGACTGTTTCGACAGCGCGGATTTTTTTCTCAACCAGGAGAGCTCCTGGTGGTGTGACATGAACCAAGCCCCATGATGGTCACCGTCTGGTAAACATACAAAAAACTTTGGAAAATCGCCATCTTTCGAAGGTGAATCAACTATGAATGTGCCATGTTTATCAATTTTCAATAGCTATGTTAAATTACCAGAGGGTAGAATTGTTGACAGTGAGACATCCAAACATGTTCACACCAACTTCTAGGTCGGGGAGGGCTGTTGGAAATCCATCTCTGGCAACTTCGGCAGATTCGCTAAAGACACAGAGCTGGAACGTGAATTGAATGTAGTGTGGCAAACCCAATCATAAATACACTTACCATTTGGGGATGGTTTATACCACGCCTTTATGGTGTTTTGGGGGTTTGTTGGTTTACTCCCTTCTTCTAGTTCAATTTAAAAAAAAAAAAATTGTTCGTGCCATTGTTTATGGGTCAATTCGTTCACAATCAGAGTCAGTCGTGTCTTCAATGGATAGCATGTTTTCAGTGTGTGTTTCCATCACGTGGACCATGTTCGTGGAACAACTGCCATCAGTGCTCAGGTGTTGGATCCAGAAGTGCTGTCCAATTTGCAGGCTAGGTGTGCCTGATGCAATTGTGACTTGTTGCTGGTCGTCTTCGCCCGGGCTAGCGAAGTCAAAATCGATGTCGATGTCGACGAGGATGATGATGATGATGATGATTGATGATGATGATGATGATGATGATGATGATTGATGATGATGATGATGATGATGATTGATGATGATTGATGATGATTGATGATGATTGATGATGATTGATGATGATTGATGATGATTGATGATGATTGATGATGATTGATGATGACTGATGATTCAGAAAACTATTGGAAGCTAATATTTATATAGTTGGAGATGTTGGAGGTTGTTGTGTTGTATTTGTTCTTTTGATCTACGATCTGTACTGTTGATATTGCTGCTGCTTGTTCAGTAAGGCCCATCACTCCTAAATTTCGGACAGTACATACCCCTTGTAGACAGACTTGTCCTTTTCCATGGCTCAATGACATCAGATTTCACCGGCAACCAGCCGAATACAATTCCTGAATGTCAGCCTGAATGTTCCTGAACTGCCTTCTCCGTTCACATCGGAAAAATGCTGAATCATGTGTACCCTCTGGTTATGACTAACATAGCCATGGTATAGATGGCCCATAGAAATAGATGGTTTACCTAGCTATGAAATGGTAGATCTTTCCATGGCTGTGTTAGTCATAGCCAGATGGTATTACGCATCAGTTTGCCATAAACTCACTATCTTCAATTTTAAAAAATGGCGGGAAAAGCGCCTGTTTCCAAGCCATTAATTTAAGCCTCGCGGGTTGCAGTAGTGCCGTTCCTGCGGTCAGGAGCTTATAGACCATACTCACAAGAGCACTGACAACTGGACTGGGAAGGGCCAAGGGTGCTGGCGCATGCTGGCCGCGGATATCAGCTGATGCCATGGAGTTGTTTTGATAAAGACTGAGCAAGGATGGCAAATTTTAAAGGTGAAGCTAATTTCTGATATATTTTTATTGGGTTTTTAAGCTAACTCATGACTAGATTACCAGCCTCATCATGTAGTTTTTCCGGAGATATTGTGACAGCTGGTTTCTAGTTGAACATGTGTTGGTTTTGGTCGAACTTCAAAAAGCCGTTTGGGTTGTGATCTTGAGTCATTCTGGGTCCAATGGTTCTTTGTAGTTATCAGCAACTGATTATATAGTCTATTCCAACAATATCAGTGAATAACTACATGTGATTTACGCAGCAAAATTGCCCAGGTTGGTAGCTTTCACGCCTTCACATCACTGGATAGTCGGATAGCCATCACCATAGACTGCCACAGGACACGTGATCGAGGCTGTACGCTGCACGGTGTCAACGGCGCAGGATGTTTCTGGGCGCATTTGGGCTCAGATCCCCAACAAAAACGGCCAAGAAGTGGTTCAAGGGTTGCAAGCTGCGGGAATTACCCTCTGGTAAACTAACATAGCTATGGAAAATCACCATTTTTAATGGGAAAACTCACTGTAAATGGCCATTTTCAATAGCTATGTTAGTTTACCAGAGGGTATTTATGTTTCCTGCATTTTTTTTTCATGAAACCGATCCACACTATCCCAGTGGGATATGGTAAACCGTGCGGAGGGAGTGGAGCTGCCGAGCCGAAGATGTTCAAGTGAAAAACGGTGTAACAAAATGGAGAATTGGAGTGACATTTGGTAATGTAACGTTAACTAACTAACCTTAACAATAGCGGGGATCTAATATCTATAGTGGGATTTCTTGGTGTACAGAACCGACATTTTTGTTGGTTTGTCCCAAAATTGGGGCGACATACTATTTTGTTTGCAGAAAATTATGATAATTTGTGCAGAATAACCAAGTGCAACCAATGCGGAGTATAGAGATTAAACCACAGAACATGTGGCATTATCCTAGTGCTATGTTCTGTGATTTCCTTACATTCATGTGTTCTGCTGTTTAGCCCGATGACATTGCGATCAATATTGGCGTTCCTATGTTGGGATTGGTCTCACTAAACATGTTGGAAACAACCAGTCAGCATTTTTTTATGGGGAGAGAATCTAAACAGGAAATTGGTCGTGGTTGCTGATTGTCATGTTTGGTTCGCCAACAAATTGACCATGATAGGCAAGAAATTGGCATAGCCACTGTGGAAATGTTGTCCTCGTGCTGGTAGAGTCACTGAAGATATTTGATGAACCTTGATGGTTGGATTGGAATTTTCATCGTCACTGAATTCCCGAAGGCAGACCTGGCTGCGTTTCCCGCAAGTTATGGCATGCGCGGTTTGCCCTTAAATTGGATAGTAACATGATATAATAATATAACATGCATTTTTCCACTCGTCTCTTTCAAGGCTGGTCGTTATGAGCAGTTTTTTTGGATCAAACTTGCCCTGCTGACAAGTCGCGCCGCAGCCAGATCTTACAGCCGCGTTTGCAATGGCATCCCAGCGTGCTGCTTGGACATGTTGAAACATGAGTAATGGCATTAAAAAAACAGAAAATGGGGAGAATAACAACAAAATGCACAATGTTACACAATGTTACAAACGTACATGGGTTTTTTAGCAGCTAATTTGGGATGCACAGATCAAGATCAAACTTTGTGAACGCCTCAACAACTGGGATCATCCTGGGATGATGTTCATTGTGACCCTCTCTCTAATATTTTGGTTGCTGGGATGGTGCCCATAGCGCACGCCAGGCAGATTAATCTCCAAAGGGGAATGGGTCGAACAACAATTGTGCGTCCATTATTGGTGTCCCAGTTTTCACAACGAAACTGTGCCAAGTACCCAGATTTGGAGTAGGGGCAGCCCCCCAAAAGTGATCCACGTCGCCACCAAGAGAGGAATACCCCCCCTGGCTACATCAATCCATCAGACCACCTGGATGGATCATAGCCGGACACACTTTGATTTTAAAGTTGCATGTGCCTACCATTTTTTAAGGCCTATGTAAGCGCTATGTTTACGGGAATATCCCCACAAAATATGGCCAAACATATGGTACAGTACCTCCATTTTAGGGTCCTGAAAATCTCACTGATTTGGGGTTGAAAATATGATTAAACATCATGGTGTCCCTGAGAAGGTAACCATTGGGTAATATTATGTGTTTCAAACATTCAGTCACATTCATTTTTGTCTCACCAAAACCATCCCCAAAGATAGCTGGTCAATGAGTGTACATAGCAGACGATCACCAAGATCAAGCAACCATTGAAAGATTCGGATATATCTCCATGTAGTACTTGTTAATTATTGTTAAATGACTCCCAATTATTCCTAATCAAATACCCAGGCTTTTTAACATGGGATCCAGTTATATAATCATGGGTATGTTTATGCTTAACACAGGAAACATAGACCAAAATCCCAGAATTAACGGGATCCAGCATAACTGCCAGAGGGCGATGCAGAGAGAGAGAGAGAGCATAACTGGTTGGTGCTTTGGAACATTTTCCATATATTGGGAATGTCATCATCCCAACTGACGAATCATATTGGGGTAGGTCAACCACCAACCAGATATGGTTTAGTAGGAATAATGGGATAATGATGCGATACTGGGATGTTAATGGACGTATATTCCCTGGTAATTTGTTACATAGCTATAGAAAATGACCCATTTAGTTCCATAATTTTCCCATGTGTCCTGGACCTCCAGGTTTTGCTCCCTTTGATCTTCATCGCCGGTGCCATCGCCACATGCTTCGTCTCCGGTCTTGCGCCCGGTTCGACCCGTGTGCCACGCAGCGCGCGTCAGGCGGTGCCTGAGGCCCAAACTGGGGCAACCAGAGGGGAATTCGTAGGTTGATGGTTACGGATCCTGTTCAATTTGTGGAAAGTATGAATGTTGAATTGCGAACCTTGGATTCCCACTAGATCTAATTACTCTAAATCTGAATCCTTCTGAATCCAAATCGTAATTATCTAGATCTGTAAATGGGTAATCACTGGTAATATCCCCCGTGGGCCCCAAGTGGCCATGCTGGGACTACCAATGTGAAATTCTGGGACAATGATGTGACCCCGCAGCTCCAAACACCTTCCGAGATGGTATTTCAGAGCTAGCATGAGAAAATCTGGGTAATAGTTTGTCTTCAGATATCTATATAGAATATATATATATATGTATATATTGATAACTATATATAATATTAAAAAATATTCTACGGAAGCTTTAAATCTTATATACATACATACATACATACATACATACATACATACATACATATGATTACATATGTCTATATGTTCAATCAAGTCATGGATGTTGATGTTAACTTTTCCATATGTTTCACTATATCATCTCCTGGCTAGGCCATGGAGTTGGGAAGCTCCATCAACACCGCCTTGGAAGTGTCGACTCCTGGCTGGTGGGCCAACATTGTCACGGTGGTTCCTCGGTCGACAGCGGGGGTTGGGGGCCGAACAAGTGGGGATAAGTGGGGTGAAGCCTTCAAAAAACAGGCGATTAAACTGGATTTAGCATGATTTAACCATAAAGTACCATAAAAGTGCTTTGCTATCATGATTTTGTTTGCAGGATTTACAGTCTACAATGGAGGTGGTCAAAAAAAAACATTCTGTATTTGTATGTAAGTAGTAAGATTCTCAAACCATGAAGTACTGGTGTGTGTGTGTGTTTACGAGTGTTTCCCTGTATTTGGGTTGTCAAACCTGATTTCCTTTTTCTGTGTTTCTCTGAAAAAGCACACCGGCATTTCGATGTGAACATGGCTCTTTGGTTGCTGACTGAAAGTTCAAGACTTACTTGACTCACGAGCTTGGAATTATGTGTAAACCAATTATATAAACATAGATAGATGCCAGAATTTTCCATTGGGATGCGTTAAGTTACAGCATTATAAGCAATAATAATCATTTGTGTTCAAGTAACATGGTGTACATTGGTTTACTGTACCTGCATTGAATGAATCGGAGATTGTTTTGTTGGAGATTGTTTTGTTCACCATGCTTAAATTTGACGGTCCTGGGTTTATTTTTTTTCGCGACTCGCTTCAATCTCGAGGTGGTACCCTGCAGCATCCTGATCATCCTGTACCTCCAATCTGAGAAGCGCAAGTATGAGGAAAAGATGGGCATCAAGAAATGAGTGTCCCTTTTTGTGTCAACAAAAATAGAAAAAAAAAACATGTCCTCTACTAGCCAAACACCCTCAGCACAGACTGAAGTGATCAGTCAACATTTTGCACATGGGGTTTGTTCAGGTTGTTTGTGGTGGGAAGTCCAAAAGTGGTGTCTAAGCTGACTTCAGCCATAACATGTCATAAATATGCTGAAATGAGGGCGAACTTGATCAAATTTGTGTGACATGAACTTTGGAATTTAATGTTTGTTTGTCCTTGGGTCGTGCTGAGTGGTGTGCTGTGGAGTGAACTGTCGGTTAATTTTCTCAACGACAGAAAAAATGCTCTGGTGAAAGGAGGGGCTTGGAGTCTTGCTTGTGGTCAATGGCTTTCAACAACCCATTCGTCTAAAATGGGTGGATTTCTCTCAGCAAATTCTTGTTATAGCCATTATGTAGAACGAACATTTTAATACATTTTACATATTATACATATGATTGTGATTGATTGTGTATATGTACAACACGAAGTGGCATGATCATAAAGCATGGCAGCTGGGGGTGCTCAATCTCACAGACAAAGCCAGCTAGATCTACCCTGTTCTGAACGTACCATTGGACCATCTCTACTTTGAGGTGCATCCGAAAATATTCCGAACTAGAAACGCCTGTGGTCCTGGACCACATCCCCAAGATACCTGGATGGCTATGCGCTACCTGGATGAACCATGGTATAAGTTAAATGATGAGTGAACCGCAGAAGCATTTGCAGCTGCACGTGGAACCAACAGAACAAGGTGGCGAGAAACTTTCAATTGCTCACATATACAGTATCATTGGCTGGGTTTACGACATTGATATTCGACTTGCGGCCTTTCAAGTGGCTTGTGCCCAGCTATTGAGTTACAACTTCAAGTTGAATAAGTTAAGTATAGTTACCCAGTCCCTACTTGATGGTCCGGTCCCATGAAAAAGCATGTACTATTGCAAACTCATTGCAACTCACCCTTTCTGTGAGTACAGCAGTCATAGTAAATTCATGATAATCCCGTTGTTCTTGTTGGTAAACACCCATGTTTGATGGTTACATCAAGTACATCATCATTTTACAACCATGTTTCTTGGTTAAATCACATGTTCGGTTGGTTAAATCATGATTTTTCCTTGGTAGACCTGGTAGACCTGGTAGACCTGGTAGACCTGGCCCCATTTTTGACGGTTGCCCCACCCCAACCATCCTCCTTGGCCCGGTGAGGTTCTCTCTCCTGCGCCTCCAAGAATCGAGTGCCGGTGCCCCGCAACTACTGGTGCTTTGTGGTCGACTGGTTGCGGGTTTGGAACATGCTTTTATGTTCCATTTCATATATGGGATAATCATCCCAATTGACTTTCATATTTTTCAGAGGGGTTATTGCACCACCAACCAGATGAGAGAATGGGAATATTTCAAGGGAATATCATGGGAATATATACCTGGAAGTTGACTAGAATTATGATTATAATAAATTATTTCATTGGGAATCCGGAATACTATGGACACATCTACAGAATATCATGGGAGTGTATATACCTGGAAGTTGATTATACATGTACTGTAGAATATGATAACATGTTGTCATTGGGAATGCTATAGAAACATTTAGAAACCGCAAGAATTGGAATCCTAACCCACTATGATCATGGGATTATGGGAGTTCTGCTGGAGTTTTTTCCCATCCCCCGATCCTATGAATGAAACACTCCCATTCTATGGTCCCGAATACTTACATGTGGATGTTACATTCACCATAGTTACTGTAGATACTGAGGGTGTTTAATATGAACGGGGGAAGGTGGTGATATGTATTGATACTGTCATTTATGTGAATTTCATGTGGGTTCGACAGTTCGACCATCTAACATGTGGATAAAATGGGTATCCAACCCTCCAGTCACCTAACAAAGCCATGAAACATGGGTCATTTACAGATGATTTACCTATCAAAAATGGTGATTGTCCATATCGGGCAAACAACAGTTGATAAGCACCAAAAATCAACCAGTTAAGTTTAACTAAGATGATAGTTCACTACAGTTAAAGCCCTTTACCAGTTTTACATGGCCATAAATGGTTCTAAATGAGGTTCTTATTGTGCCATAAATGGGGTTATAACTGACTTATAACTCGTGAAGGGCCATAACTGTACTTCAATTAGTTGCAGGAACCCAAACATAACCCAGCCTCTACGGACGAGAATGAAAAGACGACCCAGCAATGGATTGCCTTGGATAGAGAGCATTGCAAGTGATTCATCGTAATTAAGTAAAATGTACAGTAAGTTAAAATTGATTCCAATCCGGTTTGTAAATATGCTATTCGGTATGTATATATATATATATGCATACATATATGCTTTCAAGTCAAATAGTATATAGGCCCAATTTTTAAAATCGCACATTATAGACATATCAAACCATCCCCAATACTTCCATAAATGGTTGGCCAAAAAAGGTACCCAAAAACGGCGGGTTGAAGCTCGCCTCTGGCGTGTCGCTATGTGTCGTTCGACCAGGTTCCAAAGGAGTATCGTCTCCACTCGGCCTTTCGAAACCAAAACCAGGTGGGAAGGGTGGAGAACACTCCAGGATACCCTCGGATCATCACTAACATAGTGGGATTCTATATCTAATGGGATTCTAATGGGATATTAGTGAAATATCGTGGGGAATATATTTGGGATATGCATGAGATACATTATATATATATATATACGTGTGTGTGTGTACTAACATTGGTGTGTCAAGAATGATTTGTTTCATAGGGAATATGGTGATCAAGCAGTGGCCAATGTATGTAAGGATACCCTATGTTCAGACAACAACACCACATACGGCTATGGAAATCCGTCGTTTTTTTCCCATTTGAACATTTTTCCCATTTGAACATGATATTCCCTCTGGTAAACTAACGTAACTATGGAAAATCACCATTTTTGATAGGTATATCCATCATAGGTCAAACTTTGTATACCAATGGGCCCACCGAATTTGTGAATGTTCAGTATTCAACATATTCAACCCTTCAACCGTCCATGTTTCAATCACACTTTGTTGGGTGTCACAGCACATGTTCCACCCGGCAGCGGGACAATTCCAAGCAGGGTTTCAGCTCGCCACCTGCTACCCGGCGGGACGTTGGTGGAGGATCTGTGGCACAACTACTCCCTGGTGAAGACCGCCATTGGGGAAGAGTGCCATGGTCCCAGCAAGGCGCGAGGGGTGATCCAGGTTGGGAAAGCGGTCTGACACATGCGGGCATCACATAGAAAAGTAGAAAGGAACTTACCATTAAATTAATATATATATATAGGTAGATAGATAGATAGATAGGTAGGTAGATAGATAGGTAGATAGGTAGATAGATAGATAGATACATAGATACATAGATACATAGATAGATAGAGAATAAGATGTAGTCTAGTTTAATTTAAAAGTATAATGCATATGAAATAATCTGATGTTATGAATAATGCCTATACGCCATTTTAAGTACCTATTACCGTGCTTAAACATGGGTTGACGTCGGTTGCAACATCATATTTCACGGTTTTGAATTTTGAAAAGAGCCCGTCTTTACTTGGTGATAAACCTTTTGTTTAGTAAGATAGGGTTGATCACTACCGTATGCTGGAACATCGCTGCTAAATAGCCGTGCAAGATAGTTCCCATTTGTTGACATGTTATCCAACCCTGCTCATTGTCATGACTGTGCCGTGATATTCCAAAGCGGGTGATACGCATGGGGGCACAGCCTTTCAACAAATCAAGCTTGACTTGCGCCACCTTGCGGCTTTTTTAAAAAACACGTCAATGAAGCCATTTAGGATTTAGGATCCTTTAAGGAACAATGGCATCATACACCTCAAGTACACTAAGGCTTTTGCAAGTTGCATGATGCGAGCGGTCCTGTCCCTACCAAAAATCGAGATCACACTAAGAAATGGCCGTCCCCGAAAGATCATATTGAAGGGAAGGACTCTTTGAAGATGGCGATGGGAAGGGGTACGAAGTAGCCTTTGCCTAGCAGGACATCTCTAAGTCACAACTATCATGGCCTCCATGCTTTCCCAGCTCATGGGCCCCATGTCCATTTTGATGCCTGGCTTTGCTGCCCCTTTGCTCCGGCAGCCGCGCCAGCCGTTGCCGCCCCGCCGCGCCGTGCGCGCGGAGCGACAGGGCGCCGAGCTGCGGCTGGTGACGACGGAGCCGGTGCCCTGCGGCGCGGTGCTGCTGCAGGAGGCGGCGATGTTTCTGACCTCTGCGGAGACCACCACGGAGGAGAGATGGGCCATGGGCCATGGGATGCCATGGGCATGGACTTTGAATAAAAAATTGCACCCATTTTCATTTTCATTTAATTAGTTGCCAAACCATCCCGATATATCCCAATACATACAGCATATCCATAAAGGACTGGTTCAAAGACTGGTTAAAATAACTTAAAATTATCCATTTTGGGGCTTGCTACATACACATGACATGTATTCATCATGAGTTTGAAAAGGGATGAACATCCACGTGCCAGCTATTGATCTGAACAAAGGGTACCGGGGTATCGATTCGAACCATAGCCAAATGCTAGTGATTTTCATATGTTCCTTTTAAAAAGTAACATTATGTCACTTCTGGGATGGCATCTATCATTTATATACATATATATATATTTATATACATATTTATATTTATATATTCCACATACACATATACACCAATACACATGTTATTCGTCTTGAAGGTCACCTTTTTCAACCGCCATGACCTAAAAAGGCGCCAGGTTGATCCATGTTGATCCCCCAGGAGTTGGCCAAAGAGCTTGCCGACCTTCCATCAGATCTTCAAGACCAGCTTCTCACCCTTTGTTGCCACGACCGGGCGTCGCCTGAAATGCGGGCGGACATGGAAAAGGCAGCAGATTCTGAGAGAACTCTGAAACTTCTCGAGGTGTTTGCAGTGACCTGGGTTGGGTTTAGTTCATCTATAACGTCGTTTTCCAGTACTTTCTTACGCCTTACTGTTTCCAATAAATACTTTGGCATGTGTGGAATAACTTTTTAAAGCCGGGCTGGCATGAGAGGTGAATAGCGTTGCAACTCCACGGGGTGGAAGTGGCCTATACCTACGCTGCAGTCGTGCCAACCACAGCTGTCGGCCCAATGGATTCTTTCGTGTCAGCAAGGATGGACACCTGGCACTGGTGGCCAGGAGAGCTATCTCTGCCGGAGAGGACTGATAAATAGGAAGGTGACCCTTTGGTACTTTCACGCTTTGCAATGAAAAATTGCCCGTTTATATATTTTTCTTGTTGATAAACATGGTGATTTTCCATATGGAAATGACCAGATGTGTGGTCATACATAAACCTCCAGTTCATCAATGAGGAGTCGGGAGGTCTCCAAAATCACTAGTCCCATCCCGGGTTAACGGGTTAACTTCATGGCATGCAATGAAGCTTGGTATGAGCGGATATGCTCACAGTTTAATACAGGATGATGTTATCAATCCAATGATGTTTGACCATGCGAAATCACTTGGCTGCTTTGGATGATCGCGGAAACTCGAAAATGGCCATAGAAAATGGCTTGCTTTCGCAGGTAGGACTATTGGTAAGAACAATAGACCTGCAATTGCGGATGGGAGGATGGTTGAACTGATACTCATTGTACACATGTTCTATGGGAAACATAGCCATAGAAGAAATGCTAAGAACAATGACCGATCTATTTCTGGTAAACATATTGGGTTGTGACCCACCACCTGCCAGACTCTAGGAGGTCACCATTTCGTACCTCCCCGAGTCTGAGCTTCTTCAGCCCTTGGCGCGGCGCCAGCGCTCCCTGACGCGCTTCGGGTTTCAGTGTCGTTGCGAGCGTTGCTGCGCCGACGACCTTCGGAGCTTTCGCTGCACGTGCCAGGCCCTCGTGGAGTACAGAGACGGTGGATGGCAGTGTGACTGCGGGCTTCGCTATTCGGAGGAGGAGATTCAACAAGTGGAGGACTGGGTTTGAATATGGAAGTTAGTTTACTGGAGGGAAGCCAATTAGATATATATTTATATATAGAGAGAGAGAGAGGGAGAGATATCATAATCCCACCCAAATGAGAAAAGATAAAGTGAAGTTCACCAATTTGGATCCATTTGTGCTAATTAATAGCCAATCCAACAAGGATTTAAAATGTGATTTGGGGGAAAGGATTTGTGCGCAAGGTTAATGCCCAATGACTTGGCTATTGCTTGCAAATCTACCTGCAACACATGGCCGCACATGGCCGCACATTGCTATTACCCTCTGGTTATTTAACATAGCCATGGAAAATGGCCCATTTATAGATGGTTTACCTGGGTTTACCTTTTAAAAATGGTGATTTTCGCTATGTTGAATAACCAGATGGTATCACAATCAGCTCCCGTCGCGTAAATATATTTGGCCGGGTTTTGGGTGATCACCGGCCACAAATTGCCATGTTTGTTCCGCCAGAGACTTCTAAATGTTACTCACCGTTTCTTTACCTATTTGAGTTGATGGTGCTCGCAAGATCAGTTGAGATAACTATTTCTGTGGTCAAATATTATTTTTTTTGCTGGTTCTGTGTGCCAAGGGAGAGAGAGAAAGGTTCCCTATCCTCCCTCCAGCGCCAATGCTCGAAAATTCCAGGTCTTGTTGTAATCCATATTTTGTCAACTATTTCTTGTTTGTTATAGTTATATTAATTATATAGTTATACCCTCATGGCCGGTTATTTTTTGTTTGTTCCGATTTGTCTGTTTGATGCTTGGGATCCCGAGCCCAGACCTCTTATTGATGAGGCCCCGTCAAATCATGTTAAATCCTGTTTGGTGCCGGTTAAAACAAAGCTGTCGGTACCCGCCAGATTTCTTTCAATATGTGTTCCCCTTTGCCAGAGGGTATCAAATGCCCCCTTCCCCCCCCAGTTGTAAGTTTGACTATTGTAAGTTTGTTGATCAATACATCCAACTAAAAACATACACATCCTAAATCCTTGTTATTCCTACTGGTAGTTGCTATGTTTAATCCCCCTTGTTTTTGCTGCATCTCAAATCAAGTTTTCTTATGTTTATGTTGGTTTGAAAAGCACCTTACCTTGCAGTTAACTTTGTTCCTTTGTATACTCCATGAACTATACCTACAACATCTTACTGGTACAACCACTATATATGTTAATAAACAAACTTAGATAATTTATTACACACACACACATATATATATATATATACATTATTATCTTTGAATACTCCCCCAGGAGGATTGGAAGCTCCAGCTTTCCTCGTGCCGTCGCGGAGGGCCCTCCGCCGCCGTCCGCCTCTGGCGCCGGCTCGGGGGCGAGGAGCTGCGGCCCAGCGACAGACACGCCTTGGCCGGGGAGGTGGCGCGGCTGGCGGCGGTGACTTGGAGGATTTGGAGGTTCCGGGGGAACTCCCAGGTGAAAGCCATGGCAGCCATGGGAACATTTCCTGAAACTATGGCAGAAGGGGATATTTCAGGGATAGCATGGGATATCACCAGCCACCAATCTTGAACATTTGGGCTTGACGGATGTATTTTTCTATAAATACTTGCAGAACGATCGTGATTTAACCAACAAGAACTGAGAGTGAGAGTTCTACCACCAAGATGAGGCCATTTTTTGTCCCCGTATATCAACTGCAGTGATGATTATTTCAATAGCGGCAACCGTCCCAAAATGGGCAAAGGCAGATATGAGGATCAAAACTTAAGTACCACATTCGTGGCGGAGGAACATCCATTTACCGGCTATTTTGGTATGACTAGCGGAGTGCCAGAGCTTTGATCCATGGCTTAGTTTTTTGTTGGAGAACTTTGATGGTGAAGATGTCCATGAATGTTTCAAGATTCAAGTCCTTCCTGTATTGGGGGGCTGCAAAGTTCTGTATTGCAGTGTATTGTATGTCAATATCCTTCATGTTTCTGGGGGCATTTTGTTGGAGATTTGTGCATGGCTTCGGGCAAACATATGTTTGTTGCATAACTTGATTACAAATGAAACAAATTTAATTCAATTCCAGTTTGCCAGCCTACCATTACCCCAATCAAGACACACCCTACCAAACCGGGTGTTTTGCCGTGTTCAGAAATGTCAAGTTCAAAGGTTTTCTTTTGTTTCTTTATCCTTACACATCAAAACATGTTTTTCCTTTTAATCTATTAGTAAGATACATGTATAGCATGACAATATATTTTTCTACAATGTGCATATACTTATATACTTAATTTTACATAGTAATAGTAACTATATGTAACTATAGTAACTATATATATATATATGTTATGTATACTGTATATTATTACTTCATACAAATATAAATATACGTATGTTTATATATTTTTCAAAATAAACACAGAGAGAGATATATATATATATATATTATAATTAGAGTCTTTTTCCGTGGTCATTTCAGGACAGATTTTGCCACCCCACCGTCTCAGGAAAGCTTCGATGACGTCGCCCCAGAGGCGTCGCGCTGTCGTTGGCGCTTCGTTCGCGCGTCGCTGCCGGGCCTCAGCGTTGTGGGGGCCGAAGCGTTGGCCACGTGGGCAGCGGCCCTGGTGCTGCGGAAGCAGATGTGTCATGGTATTGTTTTGGGTGATTTTCATGGGATGTTGGGATATAAATAGGGACATATGTTCAGCTCATGGATTTTAATGGGAGATGTCCTGATATTAAAGGGGGTTAAGATGATATTAAAGGGGTTTAAGATGATATTAATAAACGTTTAAACATATTTAAAACATATGTTTATACATATATTTATATGTATGTATCAAACGCCCCAGGTTGTCTATGTATCATAGCCATATCCTATTACCATGGAATGTGAATGGAATCTATAGTCATAAAATTATGGCATAATCGAGGTATAGTTAATTATATGATATGATATAAGAAAGATTTGATGGATATAAACGGGATATTTATAATATATATATATATATATATTTCACGGGGAAGTAGCGAAACAATGGGATATAGTTGGCCAAGTGGGATTTGATGGGATATCAATAGACTATTCATAGCAACTAGAATCAAATGTTAGCTGATTTTTCCATAAAAGGGAATTGTCATCAATCCATGTTCAAACGGAATGACACTCTGGTAAACTAACATAACTATGGAAAATCATAATTTTTCATTGGACAATCCACTACAAATTGCCATTTTCAATAGCTATGTTAGTTTACCAGAGGGTAGCTACTTTGTGGGACTATCATTCTGGGAAGCTGGCGTGGAATCATGTTTTTGGATAGAAAAAAAACATGACCGATGGGACTTAGAAATACGGAAGCTATCATATATGTTTTTTCTTTAAAGCCAGCTAATGGCGAGCCTGGATTCATTAATTCTAAACCATTTCCCTTGGTTTTTGGGCAATATTCATTACGGTCTATGCGGCTTTGCTCCTTTAAGGGGCGATGAAAATTCCCGTCCCCTGACGTGTGCTTCAAAGAGATGGCTTGCAACTACAGTTGCTAGCCAGCTACTGACCAGGCATATCCATGTGAAGTTTTTTATATTTCACCATTTTCCTTCATATGGGTATGGGTCAAAGTTGGATAATTACCCGTAAAAGTGGATGGTTAATTTGCTCAATGCTAAGCATGAACAGAATCTGCAATTTCGTTTGTCTTCAATTTCGACCCATTCCCATCTTATCCAATATTTCTCAATGAAAATATAAACCAATGTCCTAATGTAAACCATATGTTTCCCTCATGATTTTTCCTAAAATGTGAAATACTCAACTTGGAGCTGAAGATTGGTGTCTTATTTCTACATTGGGAAAATCCACTATTTGGGCAATCTATAGGATTCTATAGGTCATGTTCTTTTTAGGGGTTCCAATCATCCATTCCAATAGGATTGTCAATCTATAGGGAATGTGTTTTTAGGGGTCATCCGTTCACATCAAATTGTCCAATTAGAAACCATCCATTTTGGGTACCTGAAATGTATGGAACCCCTTAACTCCAAGGCGTCGTGCCGCCCGGTGCCGGTTGCGCCGCGCCTTGCACGAAGCCCAGCAGCTGCTGGGCACTCAGCATCCGCGGCCAAAGCGCTTGCGGAAGCAGCTGGAGCTCCTGGAAAAGGGCGCGTTTGGCAGCGGGAGATCCAGCGATTTTCATGGGATGTTGATTGGAATTGATAGGATAGGTCAGAGGTTAAACATGGTGATGGAGAGAGAGAGAGAGAGAGTGGTTAAACATGCTTAAACCCCAGAGGTAACAGGGGAGGATGATAGGATTTTGGGGGGGTTAAACATGGTTAAACAACAGTGATAAACAGGGAAATGATGATAGATGGTATGCCATACCAGCCTCCTTATTTTTCTAGAAAGACATTATATCATGGAAGCATATGCTCCATGGTGCTTGGAAAATTACCCACATAACTTTGATTAATGGTAGAACTATCGGAATAGTCGAACATGGCTCAACCGTAACTGGCGCAGGTCAAGACTGCACAGTTTTCGGTGCAAGCTTCGTCTCGTTGGGTTGAGGCTCCGAGCCAAGTGCCAGGGACACTGGGGCTGAGTAGTTGGTAGGTACATGAAAAAATGATGGGAAAACATGGGAAACCCGCGCATTTTATGGGAACAGAATGGGATATATAACTAACAATCTGATATTTGGGTGTGTTTAAAAACTCAGATGCCTCCTCCAAATTGCCATAGTGGTTTTTGGAGTGTTGTATTATCAAACAACAACCCAATATCGTATACTGTATATCACACATGTCTTTTGGAAGAAACATGTCAGTTTTTCAATATATTGTATATATATATATATACATATATGTGTTTTGTATGTATCACAAATATAATATATGACATTATGTTATATTCGATATATAGCGAGCCAAGGCGGGATTTCAACGTGTCTATTAATAGCCACAATCAAGTGACATTTCAGCGATGTTGTTGGATTTTAGCGAAACAAGCGGGTTCAACAGCAAGACCAAACAGTATACCAGCACGAGTTATGCCAACATATGTAAAAGATAATATATTTGACGTTTTTTTCTCATTAACTAAGCCATTATAAGCCTCTAAGCATACACTTCTAATAGTTCCCTTCTAGTCACGCTGACAGAAGGTGACCAGGTCGGATTTTTTAGGCCTCACTGTGCCAAATCGTCAGGGAGAACCCCTGGATGCCAGCATCAACGAGTGGTACCTGTTTCATGGCCGCTTGGTACTGGTTTCACCTGGGAGAAGTTGACATTTGCAACTTCTCCCCAAGGACCATCGAGATGCCTAAAGAACAAGGTGCTGGTGGCGACAACTATTCACCAAAATAAATAAGTACCCTAGATCAGCTGGGTTTAGATCAGAAGACTTTGTGAACCCCCATGCGCATAAATAAACTCAAAATAACTTAAAAACGCATTAAAAAAACACTTTTTCACATATTTAAGCATGTTATCCCATTAAAACGCATTTTTAAATCATTTTGTTCATTTTATCTCATTTTATCTCATTTTTTATTTGGTTGGGGTACAAATGGGTATATACAAATATAAATTGGTGGATTATATATTATCTGAGGGACATGTGATACCAAACGTGTTATTTCTGGTGATTTTTTGAGTTCATTAATCACATCTTTATATTTTCGGTGTTGTGTGCATTTCTGGTAGGTAACCTTAATAAATAATCTAAAATGTCTCTGTTTATACTTCCATCTTTTCCACCCGTTCCTGATATATAAATAAAGTGTCTTGCCTGTCTTATATAATCCCGATGGGCTTCTGTATGCATTTGTCAATCCGTGTCTGTCTTCTGTTGCTTTTGTGTTGGCTATGTTCCTTTCTTCTTTATACAGTGTTGTATTTTGTCTGAATTGCTCATTAAGATTTCTTGCAAAGTTGTTCATCTTCTCATCTAAGTATCTTTGTTTCTTGTCCGTGTCGTTCATCAACTCTTCTCTTCCTTGACGCATTAATTCATCAAATGCTACTCTACCTATTCTTTTTGCGAATAATCTCATCTCTTCTCTTGTTAATACATGTTCTATTGCTTCACTTCCCATAATTCTCTGAACAACCTCTCTCCCAAACTGCCTTCCCACCTGTCTCAATGCATTAGTCATTGCTATTCTTCCAACTCCTGCTACAACTCCAATCATTTATTTTTATATTAATGTTTGATAAAAATCATTTCTAATAATAGATCCAATCATGAGTCATGAGTAATAGATAAACATATAAAACTATTTTTGTAGATAGTAAGTATCGCAATGCTCAATCAAAATCTTCATCTGACTTTTCAGTGGAGTTAAACGAAAACTCAGAAACACCAGAGGAAACAAAACTCTATGTAACTGATATTTCTATTCCAGCGGTGTGGAAATCTACAGAGGTGGGCTTCTATGAATATATTTATATTATGGTCATCATTGCCAACGGGTTCAGCAAAGGAAGCTGCTGCGTCCTGCGAATCCCTGAAAGACAAATGACTGCAGCAATAAATTCAACAATCACATGCAATATATAATCAACAAACATGAAAAACAAAACAAAAAAATGGGGGTTTTGCACCTTTACTTTATTTTTTCATGCTATCATCAAGTTTGAGATTTTTTGAGATTTTTTGCGATTTTTTGTTAAACATAATTTACTTTTTTGCGAGATTTTTTGAGATTTTTTTAGATTTTTTGAGATTTGTTATTTTCATTTTGATTTCTTTCTTGTGATTGTTTCATGTTTTAATCACAGTTTACCATAATATTACCTAAATATACCCTAATATTTTGACTAATGTATCGCCATTGAAGACCACAACATAAATATATTCATAGAAGCCCACCTCTGTAGATTTCCACACCGCTGGAATAGAAATATCAGTTACATAGAGTTTTGTTTCCTCTGGTGTTTCTGAGTTTTCGTTTAACTCCACTGAAAAGTCAGATGAAGATTTTGATTGAGCATTGCGATACTTACTATCTACAAAAATAGTTTTATATGTTTATCTATTACTCATGACTCATGATTGGATCTATTATTAGAAATGATTTTTATCAAACATTAATATAAAAATAAATGATTGGAGTTGTAGCAGGAGTTGGAAGAATAGCAATGACTAATGCGCCATTTTGGCTCAAGCCCCTCGGTCGCCTCTTTCCGGTCGCGCGTCCGATGGGCTTCGACCCCGTCCTCTTGGGGCTCCGTGGCGCCACCCTGCGCGCCTCCTGCGACGGGGCCACCATCTCCTTCCCCCTGGCTACCTGGCTCACCCTTGGTGGCTCCGTCGGCCCCATCCCTCCCGGCCCCCCTCCCGCTCCCCAGAGCACTCCCCCGCCCCCGCGCTCCCCTACCAGCCCGGACTTCGCGCGCAGCCCTTCCCCCACCCCGCCCTCCTCCCCCCACCGCTCCAGCCCACCGGTCCAGCTCCGCTCTCGGGCGGCCTCCTCCCCCAGCGTCTCCCCCGCTCCTGCCCGGCGGCGAGGCTCCCCCATCCCCTCGCCGCGCCGCCGCGCAACCCCGCCTCCCGCGGCGCGCCCCGCGGGTCACCCGAGCGCGGCCGGCCCCGCGATATCGCCGCGCCGCCGCCCCCCCCGCCAGCCCTCCCACCTCGCCCCCCGGCGTCCCGCCGCGGGGCGGCCTTCTTGGTCCGCCCCACCCCGCGTCGGTCCCCCCGGCTGCGCCCCTTGCGGCGTCCCCCCGGGCCTCCCCTTCGGCCCTTCTACCCCTTTCGTCCCGAACCCATTCGGGCGCCCCCCCACCCCCTCACCCTTCCGCCGCCTCTAGCCAGGAGGCGCCCCTCCACGCCTGCGCCACCCCTTTCAAGGCAAGCAGGCTCGGGCCCCCCCCTCCACCCGGGAGTGCGCTCTCCTTTACAAGCAGCACCTCCGCCCCCCCTCCCCGCGAGTGTGCGCTCCCTTATACAAGCAGCACCTCCGCCCCCCCCCACCAGAGGACCCCCCCCCCCCCCCCAAAAAAAAAACCGAAATCGGGGACAGCCCGGTGCAGCGGGGAAGCCCGGTGCAGCGGCGGCGGCACCGTCTGGCGGAGCCAAACGAGAGCCTTGAGGCCGGACGGGCTGTGGGCCCCTATCCACCCGTGTTAAGACGTTCTTACGGGCGACGCCCCGGCCGCCCCCCTCGGCTCAAGCATGGCAACCCGAACCCCTTTGGCACCCCGCCGCCCCAGCAACCCCACGGGCAATGTCCCATCTGCATGGAACCCGTCCTCACCCCTTGCCCCACCCGCCACCAACCCACGTTTTGGCCTGGCTGCGGACACGCGTACCACCTCTCCTGCATAGCGCGCACGCGCGCCCGCGTCCACCCCTCCACGTGCGCGCTCTGCCGGGCCCCATGGGTCCCTGCCCAAGATCCCGCTCTGTCCGCGGCCTGCAACGATCTTGGCATCAACCCGTACCAAGATTCGGAAAGCGACTGCCCCCGGCCAGGGTCCCCACCACCCCCCCCACCTTCCACAGGCTCCATCCCCCCCTGCCCCCGTGGCAATGCCAGCGCCCTACGCGCCTCCGAGCCAGTGCGCCCGCCACCTCAGTGGCATCACCAAGGGCCACCCCACCAGCCAGTGCGAGCAACAGCCACCTCCTGTGCCGCCTCCCCAGCCGAGCGCAGCCCTCCGCTCCCGGCAGCTCAACCATGGCATCACGCCGGGCCGCCCCAGCAACCCATCCTGGCAGGCGCCAACAGCTGGCTCTACGTTCCACTGCTCCACGCGTCCACTGGCGACCTCGCAGCGGACACGCTCGCCGCCTGGCGCGCAGCGCCACAAGCCATGCCTTGGTGGGACGAAGCGCGCGCCACCCTGGCCGCCGCGCCTCCACAGTCCCCTGAACTGCTCATCGAGGCATTGCGCCAGCACCCAGCCCCTCACGGTGCCGCTGCTGCTGCCGCCCTCACTGCGGCCCGGGCCAGCCTGCCGCGCCCCACGCAAGTCCACCTTGGCTGGGCTTGCCGCCAACTGGCAGACCCCACCGGCTACATCCCGGCAGCACCCCAAGAAGTCCTTCTTCAGATTTACGGGGGCTTAGCGCTGGCGGCAGCGCTCGACCAACACTCCAACCGCTTCCGGGTCCCCCCTCTGGCCCCCGTCGCTGCCCCGCCACTGGCGCACCCGCGCCGAGCTCCCGCGGCGCCTTCCACTGGCGCCGTAGTGCCCGTGCCCGACTCCGATGAGGAGCGCGCCTTCACCGGCGAAGGCCCCCCCAGCCCTACCCCCAGCACCATATCCGACGACAGGAGCCAACTCGACAGGCCAGAGCACACGCCCCCGCCCGCGGCTGCTAGCGCCATCCCCGCACGAGCGTGGGCATGGCTGGACTCCCTTGACCTCGCCGCAGAACTGCGGAGGCCGTGCGCTGTCACACGTTCCCCTCCAGCTTTCCTGCGCGCCCACCTCAGCCGCGCCTTCCTGGTGCCCATGCGCATCCTTACCCAAAGCCGGGCCACGCAGCTCCAACAACAGCGTGCCTGGACCTTGTTCCTGCTCATCCCCCGGCTACTGCTCCACCGCAGCCCGGACCGTGGCGCGGAGGGTCGGGCGGCGCTTCTGCAACGTGCCGCCCACTTCCAAGCGGGTGCATGGGAAAATCTTTACGGCGCCATCCCTCCGGCTGCCCCCCGGCCGGCGTCCCCGGCTCCTGTCAACCCACAAACCCGCCGTCATGCCCAAGCCTGTGCGCAAGTGCGCCAAGGCAACCTATCCCGCGCCAGGCATACTCTCACCCACCCAGCGTTGGCGCCGGGCACTCCCGCCACGTTGGCCGCCCTTAGGGATCCCGATCGCCGCCCCCCTCAACTCCGACGACCAATCCCGGACCACTTGACACGACCGCTGCCAGCCACGCCTCTCCGCCTCACCCCGGCAGAGATTGGCGACGCGCTGCGCACTGCGAAGCGTGGCGCCGCGCCTGGGCTTTCCGGCAGCACCATGGATCACTACAAAGTCCTCCTCGAGGACGAGGAAGCGATCGCCCACCTCACAGCAATGGTCAATAAATTGGCGAACGCCGATGTGCCCGCGCCTGTCCTCGAAGCCCTCGCCCGGGCGCGGCTAACTGCCCTCACAAAACCTGGGGGTGGTATCCGCGGGATCGCTACTGGAGAAGCCTTCCGCCGGCTGACCTCCAGAGTCCTGGCGCGCCACTTTGCCACCCAGTTCGACCTGGCCACCCGGCCTTTCCAGTTCGCCCTCCAAACCCGCGCCGGCACCGACGCGCTGGCCACCATACTCCGATACTGCACCGACGCCAACCCGGCTGCCACGGTCGTGTGCCTGGACGGCCGCAGCGCATATGACACCGTCTCCCGCGCAGCCGTTTTGGCCAAAGTCCACGAATGCACCCCGGCGCTCCTGCCTTACGTCAAAGCATTCTATGGGGCACAATCCTCCTACTCCTGGTTTGACAACCAGGGGACCGTGCATGACATAGTGCAAGGAGAAGGCCTCGAGCAGGGCGATTCGCTCGCTCCTGCCCTGTTTGCGTTGGCCCAGCATGAAGCTCTGGTCCTACCTTGCCGGCCGGCGACCGTCTTTATGCTTACTTAGATGACATCTGCGTGCTTACCACCAGGGACCACGCCCGGCATGCATACGATGTCGTCTCCCGCGCCATTGAAGGCCACGCGGGCATCGCATCCAACGTTGGCAAAACCCGTGTCTATCACCAGGACCCGGGGCCACCCCCCCCCAGGCATAGATCAACTGGGGCCTGACGTGTGGGTGGGAAACCAGCCTCCCGCGCAGCGTGGGTTTGTCGCGTTGGGGGTGCCGATCGGCCACCCGGCGTTCATCGCCTGCCACTTGCAAGCCCGTCTGGCCGCGGAAGCCGAGCTCCTCGAGGAGCTCCCGCGCCTCCCCGACCTGCAAGCGGCCTGGCTCCTCCTCCTGTTCTGCGCCGCACCACGCGCACAACACATCCTCCGTACTGTCCCCCCCTCCCAGTGCTTCGAATACTCCACGGGGCATGACGCGGCCATCTGGGACACCCTTCTGGCCTTGCTTGGGGAACAACGGCCATGCCCCCATTTGGCAGAAGCACGCCGCTTGGCGTTCCTGCCTGGCAGACTTGGTGGCCTCGGCCTTACCAGCGCGGAGCTTTTATCCCCCGCTGCGTATTGGGCCGGATGGACAGACGCGCTGGGCACCCTGCGCCCCCGCGTCCCGGACATCGTCGCCGCCTGCGGCCGGGAGCTGCTCCAAGAGGGCGACCCGCATGCGCCCTGCATCCGAGAACTCGTCGCGGCTGCCGCCCGCCTCGATGCAGCCGGCTGGGCCACCAGGCCAGCTTGGGCCCAACTCCTAGCGGCCCACCCTGTCCCCTCGCCACCGCTACAAGAATCCGAGCCGAGCCTATGGCGCCACGGCTGGCAACACCCCGCAGCTCTCGCTGTCACTACATCCTTCCGAGAGCAAGAGGTGTTTCCCGCCCATGACACCGGCGACTCGTGCTTTGGTTCGCTCCCAATCCGGCCCGGCTGCCGGGGCTTGGCTCACCGCCATCCCGACGGAGCCAGCTACCACACTGGCACCCCACCTCATGGCCATCGCCCTCCGGCGCCGCCTCCGGCTCCCCCTGCCGCTCACAACAGCCAGGTGTGGACAAGTGCCAAATACTCACGGCTGTGGCCGCCTCGTCGATCCGTTGGGCGACCACCTGGCCGCCTGCCCTCGAACCGGCGCTCTAGCTCGCCGCGGACACCTCATGGAGCAGGCTTGGATCAAAATTTGCCGTGAAGCAGTTGGGCCAGAGGGCCGCGTGGTCCCCCAACAATGGCTCAACAGAACCACGGCGCCAGGCGTTCCTCCCGAGGACCGGCGCCGGCTCGATCTCGTGGTCCACGGGGCCACCGCCTTGGGCGTGGCTCTATGCTGCGATGTGACAGTCGTCTCGCCCCTCACCAGCACAGGGCGACCTCTCCCCCGCGCGGCAACCCACGACGGGACCGCCTTGCAGCTGGCACGAGCCCGCAAGCACCGTCGGTACCCAGAGCTGCTCCGCGCCGGAGGCCACCGCTTCCTCGTGCTCGGCGCCGAACTCGGCGGCCGCTGGGACCAGGAGTGCCACGATCTCGTGCGCACCCTCCTCGCTGTGCGAGCCCAGCGCGAACCTGCGGCCATCCGGGCAGCCGCCATTTCTGGCTGGCGCCGCCGCTGGTGGGCGGTCCTCGCCTGTGCGCTCCAGCGTGCAACAGCCAGCACGTTGCTGGGCGGGGTGTGGCTGGCTCCGGCTCAAACCACCGGCACCGCGCCCACTTTGGCAGCCGTGCTGGACTGGGCTGACCCTCCAGCCCTCAGCCGCTTGCCGCTGCGCTAGCTGTCTCACCCGTTTCACCCGCTCCCGCGCCACAGAGCCGGGATGGAGGATTGTCGCCGCCATGGGAAGGGATGGTTGGGTTATATTGGGGAAAAAAAAGTTATAAGCCTGTTTTGATCTTCTAATTGGAGTTAAGCGTTTAAGAGTCAGGGTTTCTTAATCCGGGGTTGACATTATTTGTTATGTGGGGTTCCGGGTGGAAAGCATTTGACTGTTTGGTGGTTGGGAGGCAGCTAAAGACCTAAGGAGCTATGGTTGTATCGACAGTCTTAAATGGGGAGCCAAGGAGCTACAGAGTTTCCCAACCAGATGATAGTTCTTACACGCGGGGAAAGGATTCAGTCAACTTCATGTTTCAATTTCGGTCGTACCAGGCCAAGCAAGCCCACTGAGACGGTGCCTTTGTCAGTATCGCGAGGTAGGTGGCTTGCCAGTGGCGGATAGACAATGCATGGCAATGGCAAAATTTGCTACCCTTAGAACTTTGGTAAGCAAGCATTGCAATGGAAAATGTCCCATCATAATATACGTAGTTATATAGATGATTTTCCCGCTTAAGCGCCAATTGATAGGGGATTTCGATGGATTTCGCATTGCGATGTTTGATTATACTGCCTCAACCTTAGAAGATTGGCCATTTAGAGGCATGTCAAGCTGTCCAGCTTGAACATGCTCTAACTCTTTCCAAGCGTACCTAAGTGTAAGGGAAGCCATGAAAACACAAAACTGGCTTTCGTTTGGTCTAATTCTTATCAATGGCTTGGTTTAAGGGAAAATCTTAACCGGAAACCATAGATTTTCCCATTAAATATGGGGCTTTCCTGTAAAATTTCCCTAAAACCAATCCATTGATATGATCTATTTTTTATCCTACCTGACATGATGATCCGATGGGAAATGGGTTCAAATCACGAGCAGCAGAACGATGGAACTGCAGTTTTGGTGTCAAATTGGAAGACTTCGAGGGTCAAAAAACGCCTTGTTTCGGGCTGAAACCGACTGAAACCTGACGCACCAAGCCATGTAGCAATCTTTTCAAAAGGTGCAGGCGCCCTTTTGCCACGAGCAGCCTAGATAATAGCGGCTGCAGTTATGTTCCTAATGAGCATTGAATTTCCATGCCTTGGGACTGGTTTACTGACTCTTGACATCCCCTAAAACCAAAATTTTAACATCAAACTTAGAATTTGTGCCCCTGCTCAAGCAATTTTTGGTACCGCAAACGGTATTAGCAAACACCAGGCACAAACACCAGGCACAAACACCAGATTTATGCTGTTTGAGCCCCACATTTTCACCAAAAATCGCATTTGAAGCATCACATTTCTGCGCGCGCCCCTTTTCCATTTTCCAGCACCTTGCCGTGCACAGCCCACACCCCTCCAGGCTAAGTTTTAATTAAGCCAGCTACGGGCTAGCCAATATATAATTGTATTTGCCGTAAATCCTATTATCAGTTATTGAACTTGTAAATCAACAAAAAGCTATCGTTTGGGGGGCCCCACCTTGGAACACCTTGTATGCAGCTGTTCGCGATATGGCATATGAGTCAAAACCTATTCTTACCACAGGGTGAAAAGACATCCATTAGCCAGCCATTTTAGGGTACCATCCGGGTGCCAGGTATTTTGCGCATGGCCATAATCTATCCATATCCATCTATATCCCCAAATACTACGAATCAAAAAATCATGAAGTCTGGGGTTGCGAAACACAGAAAAACTGAGGCGGTCTCTGAGACCAACGATGACCATTCCACCGAGGAGATCCCGAGATCGCGGCGGTTGAATTCCTTCTTAGCGATGGGTTATATATGGTTATATAGCTATAAATTATTAATGGTTCTACGACCCTGTACAGCTCGTTGATTTCTTGACATAAAGAGGTATCGTATATATATATATATATTTGTGTTTTTGAAATATGTTGTTTGATGTTGTTTGATATTTTATATCTTGAAACATTAATCTTTTTCATGGCCACCATCATCATGCCAATCAACCCGTCCCGGGGTTAAAATAGACCGCGATTGAAATTGGCCAAGATCTCCCTCCACTTTGGCACATGCAGATTTTGGACGTGATGTGATTTTAATATATTTTAATTCCAAGAGTTGTAAGTCACCGCGTGTTTATCAAGCTCTATTAGTTACAAACTCTGATACCTCTAACAGGCATCTCTCTGACATCTTCTGACATCTTCTGACATACATGGCTCACACCTAGGATTGGGACATATTGGCACATCACCTTCAGAAACACCGCAGCCTCAGTAGAACTGATACAGTAGGATTTGGATTTGGGAAATCATCCCCAATCGCCAATAGCATTAATTATCGTTTGTCCAGATGATGTGAAATTGCGAGAACCATGAGTTTCACTGCCCAACACGGTGGTTCATCCCAGCCAGTGGGTTACAACCCCAGGGGCAGTTGTAAGTAGGGTAAGTAGGGTTGGTCCAGTTGTAACTGGTTATTAACTTATAACCCGCTCATTATTACTGGGGTGAACCACCAAGTGCTGTAAGTCTATCATAGTCTATCCATCCCTGTGATATTGTAGTGTACAATAACCATCAATAACCCATATGAGCCAAATAGGATTAATTGGGGCTAGTATGGGCTATTCCATTATTGTATGATGGGTTTATCATCACCGCCGCTCAACTGCGGACACATAGGACACTTCATCAAGTAGTTCTTCCACCTCGCACAACTCCGAGAGGTGCTTGTCGGTGCTTGTCGTGCCCGGGCCCGGTGCAGCGTGTCTTGAGATAAGCAAAACAACGTCCTGACCCAAAATGGCAACAGCTGAGGGTAAGATGTTTTGGTTTAATTAGGAGCTTTGCCTTATAGGGAAGATTTACGGGAAAGCCTTTCATCATCGTTCAGATTTTGATGGTAATTCCAGGGTTTCCTGTACCCTCAGCCCAAGCCCATTCATTACCCATCATGTTTGGTCATGCCGCTGTTTTTCTTATCAGAAGCCCAATTTGTTGTTGGTGAAAAATCCTACATCTTCATCATATGAATCTGTTGATTAACCTAAAAACCCTATATTTGGATGGCAAAACCATAATTTCCTGGTGTTTCCTATGGGTTTTCCCTTATAGCAACCAGAAATATAAGATAGAAACAGACACTACCACCATTCAAAATACTTAATTTGACCGTTTGCGCCTCTTTTTTTGTGGGTTGCTGGACAAAGACTGCCACCACTGCATGATTTGAAGACTTGAGACGCAGGGAAGCTTTGAAGGAAGCAGCTGGAAAACTCGGTTCTGTCCTCAGTATGAAAGGGGGTCACACCATGTTTTCAATTCACGTCATATATATATATATATTCATATATCTGCTTATTGATTTATTTGTTTATGTGTTTAATGCTTTGAATTGAACACCTTTTCATCAAATAACCTCTGTTCAGTAATGGCTGCTTACTCCTCCATGTTGGCCAAATCAATGGTTATTAATGGCTATTAGTGGATATTTATGGATGTTGTCCCCCATTTGGGTCATGTTTTTTCTACCCCCGTTGGGTGTAAAGACTGGCTCATTGATCTTAGGCCCAGATCAGGAGCTCGCTACGGTCACTTGGAACGGTAGCATCCTGTAGTTTTTCCATATTTTGTGGGATACACTCCCCGGTAAACTAACAGTTCGCTATGGAAAATCACAATTTTTAATAGGTAAATCAACTACAATCAATCATAATGATTGATAGTGGATAATAACCATTACCCCTCCGGTTGATAATGGTTAACAGTGGTGAAAAAGGCTTACTGGAATAATTAATAGGAAAACAACCAACAATAATGGATGGATATCATAAAATACAACAATGACTGTGAAAATTCTATGATTTAATGGGGCAAATAATGGAAGATATGTTGGGGATATGTCAACAGTCATAGGGGTATAGTGTAATAGGGATTTGATGGAATAATATGTGGGGATATACCCTCCGGAAAATAGTGGTTACTAGTGGTTAATAAGGCTTAATGATAGGAAAACAACCAACAATCATGGATGAAGAATTGATACTGGGGATATACCCTCCGGTAAACTAAGAGTTTGCTATGGTATAGATGGCCCAGCTAGTTCGTTGATTCACCTAAAAGTGGTGATTTTCAATGGCTATGTTAGTTTACAAGAGGTAACTGGGGAGCTCAACCACTTTATATTATTCTATATTATCTTTTTGTTTGGAAAAGATCAAAGCACGTTCAGGAGCAGTGATTGAAATATAGCAGCAACTTGGGCTAGCTACTGACCAACTGAAAGCAAATCGCAGGGTGCTGAATTTCAAGAGCATAATCAAATCTATATTTTGCCCTTTGGATTCATTTCAGGAAGCTTGCAGAAGCAGTTTGATGCCTTTCCGACATCATTGGCAGGAGTGACGTCTTCGAACATGTCGGTCAGGTGATGTATAGAAGCATCCCTCGTTGCATTGTCACACTGACAGATAGACAGATAGGTAGGTAGGTAGGTAGATGGATGGATCGATAGATGGATAGATCGACAGATGGACCGATCGATAAATAGATAGATAGGTAGATAGATAGAAATAGATTTATAGATACATAGATAGTCAATGAAAGATAATATGATAGATCATTATAATTATAGTATAGAGAATTGTATTTTTTGAGATGCATCACGATAGATAATGATAGATTATGGATCATGATAGGTCATGATATCGATGTAGCCACTGTGAAGCATGTGCAGATGTTGGAGCATCCTGGATCTGTCATGTTGGCGGTCCTTTGACTCCATCTAATTGGGTTTGATAAATGGGGTCGAGAAACTTAGTGACTTAGTTGATGAAGAGGGAACGTGCCCCTTTCTTGCATTGATTTCTAGGAATCGCTGAGGAAGGGTTTTACAATTCTGATTCAATGCAACTATTGAAACTATAGGATTCTATAGGTTGATCAATGGGGTGGAACAGCATGGAACAGCTGCGTTCATTGCTCAAGCCACTTTTCTGCCCAAATGATCGGATCCCATTCCGGCCCATTCCTATAATTTTCTCATGCGAGGTTTCTTCTGGGAGGTGTATGCGAGTAATTAGTATGGGAATGGGAATGCCATCATGAGGCTCCCTATAAATATAACTTTTTATTTTCGTACCCAAAAAAGCATCATATCGTCCCATACTAGCTTTCCACACTATCCAAAATCAACAGCAGAAAATCCCAGAAAAATCCCAGGCTTCACATATTTCACATGGCTTTCCGAGGACAGTTTTTATTTCAACGTGGCCAGCAGCTTCGTATCCTTCATGAACCTCATCTGCCTGGGTCTGGAGGTGGACCTGCGTCCCTTGGACCATCTTGGACCTGTCGGACCTGTCATGCAGTAGTTGAAAACAGACTTTGTGGTTGTTTATCAAGTGATAAACATTGGTAATACATGGTAATACATGGTATAACATGGTCTAAGAATATGAAAATCTATGACATCTTCTAGAAATTCTTAAGATTTGGATGTGGATGTTTCATGATGTTTCCCAAGTTTTGACTTGGGAAAACAACCTGGCAACATCGGTAGCACGGCCACTGCCTCCTGAGGCTGTCCCACAGCCATGTGCAGTAATCCAACCGAGTATTGGGACCCGTGGTGAATTTCGTGGCGACGGGGATGACAACGGATGTTTGTTAATGGGATTTCATGGGCTACAACCAGCAAGCATTGGGATTTAATGGGAAATAATTGGATCGACCAACAAAAATGGTGACTTAATGGGATTTCATGGAATATAACCGACCAAATGCGTGATTGAATGACAAAGAATTGGGAGATATAGGCTATCTGGATCTATCTGGTGGATAGGTGGAAGCAGTGATAGGAGTTATGATTGTATCAGCATCCATATTTCCAGCAAAAAATCGGAATCCAGTTGGAGCAACCCATGATGAACTGGTGTTACTTATTGGTTGAGGTATGGAAGGTATGTTGGTTATTCAGAGTCCAGATTTTGAGTGCAGGGAACATGTGTCAACAGAGTTGGGGATCATTTTCAAGGGGTTTGGAGCCTCAGAAAACCTCGTGGAGCTGAGGACTTCATTACCCAGGGCTTCACTGCGCCTTGGAGATTTTTCAACGGAGGGGCCAAGACACCTATCCCGGACCTGCGTGGGATTTCTCTATAAATACATATGCATATACATACAGTCTGAGAAATTTTGGGATGATAACGGGCAATGATGGGAATATAATGAGGACACACACACACACATATATATATATATATTAAATACCATATCATAGGGACATAAGGATACTGGGTGATTTGTAAAACACGGCCCAACGTCACCAGAAATGACGGCCGAAGTTTAAGTGATTGGCAAGTGATTGGTAAGTGATTGGTAAGTGATTGGTAAGTGATTGTGATTTTTTACAGATCTTCCAACTTTTGTTGTTGGAGTTGTACCTTAGAATCCCTATGACTTTACCATTTTCAAGGGCCCATGACCTTCCAGAAGCTGACAACGACCAATTTTTTGTGACCCGCAGTAAGGCCGGGAGGCAGTTCCACTGAACAAGTGGTATTTTTCCTTACTCACAGGGAACATGATATACATAATCATACTATAGAATATATATTATGTACACATATATATATATATAATGTACATACAGTATGATATCCCAACTCATGGGGGTTGTTATAGTTATATTGTTATAGTTATAGTTGGAATTTAACTATTCGGCTTTATCCCATATGTACATACAGTATGTTACATACAGATATAATCACACACACACATATATATATATAAGATTCAAACATATTGCACCCCAACTTGACCACCACAAGTAGCCCAAATTTCGACCCACCGCCAGCGTTTCAGGCCTTTTTTGTGCTGGAAATGATCCTGCGCATCGTGGTGGCCACGCCACGACGATTTTTCAAGGGCGACATGTCCAGGGTGCCTTCGGAGGGTCAATGGCCATTTCAGGAAACTAAACTGGTACTTAGTAGCTACCACATATATAAGACCTATGTAAGGCCTATGCAAGGGCTGTGTAAGGGAATAATCCCACTGATATTATGTTGGGTGGTTCATTTTCGTAAATTGTCATATAGTCTTCATGAGGCCTTTTTAAGCACAGGGCGATTTTGATGGCTGCCAGGTTCACAATTTATGTTTTGGGTCGAAAGAAATGCAAATGACAATGCGCACGCGCGCACACACACACACACATATATATATATATATATATATATACGCATATACAATTATAATATAGTTTCCTTCATGCGGGTCCAGGCGGGTGAATGACATTGGAATAAGCCGTCTGAGGCTGATAGTAACTGCCATGTCAGATGCCAGCCATGTCGAGGTCCCCGAAAAGATCGACCAACAAAACGAATCACAAGAAACTCCTGACATGTGGTGGTCGTTCTTGTTTCGCCAGGATATCTTCAAGCCGCTCGGCATGAGGAGTTGACCCACAGGGGCAGACCTGCTGTATTTTTTTCGACATTGCTACATGACCCAGCCTTCACCTATGATAATCAGTTCATAGCTTTTGCATTATTTGCATCTGTGTTGCCACCGCCCATGTTTGCAGTGAGTTTGCAGGTTAAATTCCCGGCACATACATCATCAAACATCCCCATATCCCGCAGCAGCCTGCGACCACCAGGTTCGACTTTCTGAACTGCATTGACTTCATGTTAGCACCTTGGCCTGCAGGGAATCACCATTACCCATCCCTATATCTATTCAGTTGTCTTGTTATTCTGTTTTTCCTTTATGCAATGATGAAAAATTTGCAATGATGTTACAATGCTATGCAGAATTGGGCCTCATAAATGCTTCGATTCTTCACCTCGGCGATGGGTCCATTTGGTGCACGTGCCATTGGTGGAAACCTAAAAAGCATAGACACGTATCATTCTTAGGGAAACGTATCTAAATGGCACGTGCACGTTCCTTGGAAGGTTCATTTTCATCACCAGCAGTGATCATAATCACCAAAACATGCGACCGCAAATTCATGAATAGATCCAATACTACAGAGATTGTCGGAAGCTATTTACTGAAAAACAGATACAGCAATTGAAATGGTTTAATCGCCACAGCCATCACTTAGTAGATACGAACATCCAGTGCTACAAAAATCACAGTAGCACCTAGGGGGAGGTAGTTTCAAGGCCGCCCTACCGGTGGCACGTTTCAGCGATCTCCCAAGGTGTTTCTGCGCGTGGTCGATTCATGGATGCTCTACCCCTTTGGGGTGGTCTCCAACCTGAAATTTGCCAGCGCTTTCAGGCTGGAAATGACTGGAAACCTTAGATGGCTTAAGTTTCATAACTTTTGATACATTTTATTGTGTCATAAAAGGATATAAAAGCTGCATCTGTATAGACTAGATAGATAGGTAGGTAGATAGATAGATAGATAGGTAGGTAGGTAGGTATACAGATAGATAGACATGCGTATTATACCCACACACACACACACGCACAGGTATGTAAATGAATACAACTGATAAATTGGCCATAGGCTAGAGCAACCACCCGATGGCCCAGCGCAGTTTGGCACGCAGGGTCTTCCAGTTTGGCAGAGCAGTCAGGCAGGGCCCGAGAAAGCGTTCGGCGGCACCATGCGCGCAAAGATATGATATGTTGCTTGATATGGTAAGCTGGTACCCTCCATGACCCTATGTTCATCTAATTTTCGGTTGAGGTAAACTGCAGGTAAACTCAATCAATTACTAGAGGCGTATATAATTCTCATTGAAAAATCTTGGGTATACCATGGCATACCCCGACTGAAAAGGAAGCCCAGTCCTCAGGCAGGTCCAGCTGCATCCCAACTTTCGGGAGCTTTGGATCGTGATCTCCGCAGTGGGAGAGACCATGTGGCTCCTGGGCGATGACGGTGATGGGCATGGCTCCAAGATGTTCACTGCCCGTGGCTTTCTTCGGGGCTGGAAAAAACTGTAACATTCACCTCAACCCCAGCAGATTCCATAGTTCAAGTGCCGAAAGTGTGTGAAGGTCAGAGGCTTTCCTGAGCTATCTATCATATGGGGTGGGTCAAAACCTATTATTATCATGTATTATCAATTTTAGTGGGATGAACATCCATATATCCCAGCTATTTTGGGGTTCACGGCATGGTGCCAGGGTTTTGACCCATAATATATTGAACCAGTTATCATTTATCGTGCTTAAATTCGGGTGGCTTAGCATGTTTGAGCAGCGATGACGAGAGATCCCGGGATCCTTTCGATGATCTGAGGACTTTGGTCTGGGTTGGCATCATGCTCGTGGGAGTGATCTATGTCTGCGGCATTCTGTTTCTCGTTTAGTGAAACTGGGAGTGATCGTTTCGATCGTTTCGTTTAGTCGTGAAGAATTGGTAACTGGTGGTCGGTTGTTGAGGGTGAAGCCTTTTGGTTGATATTTGAAAAGGAAATCTGGTCGCTGGATGTTGTTTTGGGTTGTTGGTTTGTCCAAGTCCAAATCAGCTTGTCACTGTCATTGCCCGTGATATGACATGAAATGGATAAACTGCGTGGTTTTCAAACGTTTTGCTAAAACTTGTCATATCCAAAAATCAAATCTACAATTCACTGTCCAAACACACTTTCTTGAGTGATTAATTACAGCCGTTGGATTCAAGATTCTTGACCCATTTCTTACTCTTTATGGTTGAATCCATACTTCTTCTGGCTGGCCTCCAATTCTCTGAGTTGTCCAGCCGTTGAAGGGTGCCACCATGTGTCAACGCCCAGGGTGTCAATGGCTGTTTTGGACAAGGGCGCAGAGGACGCAGCGGGCGGCACATTTTCTCGGGTTTTCTGGGGTTGCCCCTGAATTCTCACACCTTGACCATCCAGTCGTTTGAGCTAAGGAGCTATGGCTATCCACATTCCCCGCAATAAATGGGGAGCCAGTTGGAGCCACGAATTCAGTTCCCAAGCGCATGATAGTTGAACGATGTTGAACGGGATGAGTGGAATTCAAAACCACCAAGCTACACCATCAATGTTTTATTTGCACATGGGTAATTTGCTATCTATGGATGTGGGATTTTATTTGGATGTTTACCTGGACCAAAACTGAAATGGTTAATTTGCCAAGGGCCACATCCCAATCCCACATCTTGCCATAGATGCATTGGTCATTTGCACAGACTCTAAAGGACGATCGACGATCAGCCATTCCCAATAAAGCTGCCCATGGCAGCAGCAACTTTTGTTCATTTCGTCACCATACCATAGAATGAACTTCCCCATCATCAAAAACATGACCATGTTTCCCTATGTATATATATATATATAAAATAAAAGCCTGGTTGGTGGTTTGGAACATTTTTTTTTTGATGTTTTATGACTTTCCAGAAACAGTTGGGAATGCTATCATCCACAATAATCCCAACTGACTTTCACTCCATCATTTTTCAGAGGGGGTAGGTCAACCACCAACCAGAAAACCCCTCCGCTGAATCGATCCATCGGGACCGGTCTCAGGACTTCAATCTGAACCGAGCCGAATGGGACTTCAACGAGTCACTTCGAATCGCGACTGGGGAAAGGGGTAGCGGGATATACTGGGGATATACATAGTGACATAGTACTCGTAAGAGAGGATCATGGGGTTGGAATGGGGATCAAAGCTGGATTTGATGATGATGATGATGATGATGACGACACTGATTGTTATTTAACATGATGACATGATTTAGCCATTAAGATATTGTGTCTTAACAAACAACAATGGTGGTAAAATGGGGAAAATCATGCGGAGATAATTGTTATGTGCTTGACTCTATCCCAACCATCACGCTGATTTTTTCAGGCCAGGGCAGGGGTTTTGGGGATGTCGGCCTAATGGCAACTTGGCTGATGAGACTTGTTTCCAAAACACAAAACACTGAAGCCTGAAGCCTAAAGCCTAAATCTGCCATAATCTGGCAAGAAACCCAAAGTAAGCCTTGAAAGTGAAATCTTATTAACAGTGTGGTTATAAAAAAAATGAAACCCTATGTAAACCCTAAGCAAACCCTAAACAAACCTAAAAGAGTTGGTCCCACGAGAAACCTCTGGGCATCTCTGGGCAGCACCCCCGGCCTGGATTTTACATGCTTTGCAGATGCGACGATATCATATGATTGTATGATATTGCGTGTGCTTTTGCAGGTAGATGAGTGACAGAATGACACACTGGTTTGCCTTGCACTGCACTTGACTAATAATTTTCATTGCCTGCATATTGTTGCCGGGCGCGCAAAGAATACATATTGATACATATTGTGCATACCTTTGCGGTCAGGCAACGGTGACATCAGCAGTTGTTGATTAACGGGTCCTCAATTTTCCAGATTTGTGAATGACCACCTTGCTCGGCCGATGGTGCATCCTTGTTCATTTCAAAGATTTCCCAACATTTTTTAACATTTGGCATGTTGATCCCAATCATGCAACTGTGAAAGGGATTACATATCTTGAAATTTACTTTGGGTCCTCGACACAGAAGCCCGGACTTCAAACTTCAAACATCTTCAATTCAAACCTGCTGCAGTGGTAGCATCAACTATAGAAACCCCCCTAAAGAGATAGAAAAGTAATTGCTGATGATGATTTTGTTCAGATTCTATTACTTTGGGGGGTTACAGTACTAGTACTAGCCATACTGTAATATGTTTCATTTTTTGGACCCCGAGTGGAACCATGTTTAAACCATCAACAGTCGTCGACTTCTGCCGCGCTGCCGCACGTGTTGAGGTACTGGGGCACTGTCCTCCGCAGTTCCTTCTCCTTGTTTCAGGCACCCGGGGAACCCGGGGAACCCTGGTGGTTTCAACCAGATTACCCTCTGGTTATGTCAACAAAATTGGTATTGAAAATGGCCATTCATAGTGGATCTACCCATTAAAAGCATGGTGATCTTCCATAGTTATGTTAGTTTACTAGGTGGTAAATTCTAGTAATGTTGATAAAGCAATAATAAACCAACCCATGGTTTACTATTGCTTTACTAGCAGACTAACATTGATCCCCTAACAATGGTGTATATGTATGATGTTACTGCTACAATTGGGATAGAATTGGAAGATCTTTGGATAGATTTGATCACGACCTTCCGTCGCGACGGAAAACTGGAATGATGATTGGGATTGGAGTTTCTTAAATCCCAAAATGGCTTCAAGTTTCAGGTTCGTGAATAAAAACCATAATAATAATAACAATGATAATAATCGCAATCATTATCATCATCAATCCAAAATGTTTGTTCTTTTCCATCTCTTACGAAAAAAATCGATGATCCCCAGGTGGTGACCCGTGACAAGTGGTCGGATGCCTTAGTTTGGCCCCTGGTGGAGTCGAGTCTTGGCATCTTGCGAGACATGGGGGTAATTGTGCATGTACGGTGATATTTTATATGTGTATATTTACACATACGTACACACATACACACACACATATATATATATATTATAATGTATTATGTACATGCACTATCTGCAGCAGCCTAGCCGGCTTTGAAAAAGCTGCAGGGTAAGATTGGCCAATCTGAGACGCTGCCAGAACCAGGACTCGAAAGAGGCCTGTTGTTTGAATGGGGATTTTTACACCATATTACAATCCACAGGAATAACCAATACCCTCTGCTTATTTAACATAGCCATGGTATAGATGGCCCATAGAAATAGATGGTTTTACCTATTAAAAATGGTGATTTTCCATGGCGAACTGTTAAGTAACCAGATGGTAAGTATTTTTTGGGATGGGATGGGGTGCTGCATAGGACCTTGCAATTTCTGTTTCTGAAATCTGGGAGTTCATTCATCCGGGCTTGGCATTACAGGACAAATGCCGGCTGAAAGATTAAAGGAGTCATACATATTTAAATGATTTCAAAGAATGGTTCAACATTCTCAAAATAATTATGTAATCTGGATGCATTTTTGTTTGCATACCACTTGCAACATTCGGAGCAAACCCGAAGTTCCCCGAAGTGCCCGACTTCCGAGGAATCCAGAACTCATGGTGGTCTTTATTGCCTTCTTCACCATTGCCAGTCTTGTCAACGGGACCCAAGAAATTGCGGGGCATAAGTGGCATAAGTGGCATAAGTGTTGAGACTTGAGACATAACAGACATAACAGACATATCATGAAACTCATCAAGGTTCCAAGGCTGGAGATGAGATGAAGTCCTATTTTTGGTAAGTTGGGGAAACTATGACTTCAAATGGGCAAAAATTAGATGAAACATCCTCAGTTGATCTCAGTTCTACATTAGGGATATGTTGAAGCACCTCGGGTCATTCTTTGTGAACGTTAGCCCAAACATCCGTCCAATGTCCAAGTCTTTGCGGGTCCTTGAAGCAGCACCCCAACGTATGGAGGTGCATATCATCACCATGGTTATACGTCATACCGTTATAGCCGTCAATTCATCACCTCTGGCCTGCGCCACAAGTATATAATTAGGTCATATACCCCATGAAATCCCTATTATATCCATCATGAACCATGCCTTAAAATCCCATACTATCACCATAAAATCACCATTCAAAAGCATCATGCCGAGTCATTGATGAATTCCATTGTGGGCGTAGTGGTGGCTCCTTGGCGGAGCTCTGGGACACCAGACACGATGCTCTGGGAGGATTGGGGGGATCGTCCCCTGACCTTTGAATAATGATATTGCTGTTGAGCTATTAATCAACGGCTGGTTGGTGGTTTGGAACATTTTTTATGACATCCATATATTGGGAATAATCATCCCAACTGACTTTCATATTTTTCAGAGGGGTTGAAACCACCAACCAGAAGGTTTGGGGGAATGATTATGAAATTGATGAAAGCAGCTCTTTTACTATGATTAAGAACTCCGAGGCCAGATGTGTGTAGTACATTGATGGACTGTTGAAACAAACTGAGTTGTAATGGAAGTTTCTTCAAGAAAATTGGTGTGAACGGATTGTTATGATGTGTCCCTCCATTTCAGTGGCGACCAGCGTTTACAGTGCAACTGTTTGACTGATTGGTCTAGATGATTATGGCAAAAACGTGAACAAAAAGGCAAGAACTGCTTGGACGCATGGCACGCCAGGAGTGCCTCAAGCATGAGATATGGAGTTTGTCTTAAAATAGTGCGCAACATTCCATCCATTCGTTAATCATCCTTTCCCTATGGCCATAGGCTTGGGGTATACCCATTTTCACGTAGCACACCGAGATCTGACTCCCTGATTTGCTTGTGCGTTTTTAGCGTTAAAAATAATTCAGGGTGCCTCGAAAAAACAGCGATTCTGGTCCTTGATTGCACGGTAAAACATTGATCGATCGATGTTTAAA